GGGTACAATATTTCAGAGAGGGAAGAACAAGGAAATACTATCAATGTCTTTTAATCACCATGTCTATCAATCTCCATCTCCCCACACAAAGGAGGTCCCACAGCAGACGAGGAAATGAACGACATGGTGTCTGTTAGTTTCACCAGGGATCAGGAAAAATTATCTCCCCTCCTCTGCCCCCCAGTGTCAAATCCTTTTTCTTTATAAGTAATTTATGATTTACATATTGCATATGAATAATTCCTTAACCCTCAAAAAAAGTCCCTTTCATAATAGATGTGAAAAATCTTCCTCCCCATCTCAGACAATCAGTTTTCAGAGATGTTGTGTGACACTAACAGTAGTTTGACTTGTTTCTTATGTGAAAACAGTAGAAATTTTAACATAAGCGTAACAACAATTTATTGCAGTGCCAAGAGGCCCCTTTATGTTAACTGCTGCAAACACATGGTAAGAGACAGTCCTTGCTCCAAAGAGCTTGCACTCCAACTTTCCTTGGTAGCTGCCAGTAGATGTTCTAATAAAAACCAAACACTTGAAAACAAAAACGAACTTCAAGCCAAGTGGTCATATTTGCACAGGATACAAAAGGAGGAATAACCTAATAGGAATTCAGGAGAAAGAATTGAGTGAAAGTGTCTCTAGATAGAGAAACAAGACATGAGAAATATATAATCAAATTATGAATCAAACAACAGCAATCAGTTCTAGAGGCATTAGGATAATTTCGAGGTAGGAGGAGAGGAAGATATGGGGCTGTTCAGTCAGAGGTACTAGTATGTGGAATTGAAGAAAGTAAAGACCTACCAGGATAATATAAGCAAATATTCGTATACAACTTTGCAATTCAGTCTACCACTGGTTATCTTTAGTGGTACCTTATTTTCTCTAACGCCTGTAAGTTCTCTGGACAGAGAAATATTCATATATGCCAGACATTTTTCTTTGATTGTGAGGCAGTTGAGGAAAGTAGCTAATGATCTATTATTCCATCATTGCTATCATTACTCACTCAGTCACAAATGCTGCTACATGTTTCTGTCAGGTTCGTTATTTAGGGCAGTAATTTTGGAAACACTTCACTACAGTTTAAATTCATTATCTGATGCTAATCAAAACTGTTCCACTGTCACAAGAGAAAATCCAGTTAAAGAAATGGATGAGTTGCAACAGTCCTTCAATAGCTGATCCTGGAATGGATACGTGTACGAACATTTGATGTCACTGCCAACTAGGTCTAATTGGGATTAACCTTTAAGTGTTTACTACTATTTATAAGATTAAGTGGGATCAGAAAGAAGCATAGTCAGCACAGTATGGCCACATCAGTAGATATGAACTGAGATAATGGTGGAATCTATTTGCTTTAATTATGACATGCAAGTGTGCACTTCCAGGTTTAATTAACCTAATATTCTATTTATTGGTTAGGACTTTTGGTTTCACAACACAACAGAGTTCTTTATACAGTAACTCCTCCCTTAACATCGTCCCAGTTAATGTTTCGTTGTTACGTTGCTGACCAATTAGAGAATTTGCTCATTTAAAGTTGCGCGATGCTCCCTTACAACGTTGTTTGGTAGCCACCTGCTTTGTCCACGGCTTGGGGAAAGAGCAACCTGTTGGAGGTAGCTGGTGGGTCCTTGGAACCAGGGTGGACCAGCAGCCCCCCATCACCTCCCCTAAATTCTGCGTGCGGCAGCCACCCAGCAGGCTATCAATTGCCGGGCAGTTCAGCTGTCCCTCCCCGCATTGCCCTGTGCTGCTCCTGGGAGCCTCCTGTTTGCTGTGCAGTGGAGGGGCAGAGAAGGGGTGCTAATATCAGGGTTTCCCCCTCCCCCTGCTCCTTTATCCATCTCCACAGAGCAGAGGAAGGGGGATGGACACAACAGGGCTCAGGACAAAGGGAGCTTGCTGGCAGCAGCTGCTGTCTCAACTTGCTGATCTCTCTCTGCCATGCTGTCTCCCCTCCCTCCATTCCTGCTGCCTTGTAGAATGTGAGGCTACACTAACAACGTGTTAACGCTTGAGGGCTCAGCCGAGTGCTAGTTCATCATTTAGCAGTAAGGCATTCCCTAAGAAATATCCCACCCTCTGACTTCACCACCTCAACCAAGCTTCAGAATAATTTCCCTGGCACCTAACCCCCCCACTTACATTAATTCTTATGGGGGAAATTGGATTCGCTTAACATCATTTTGCTTAAAGTAGCATTTTTCAGGAACATAATTACAACGTTATGCGAGGAGTTACTGTATAGCGTGTTATTCTGTGGATAGCTGGAAAGCAAGAGAGATTTGCTTCTCATGAAGATTACACAATGTGTTTCATTTGTTTTAGGATATATGTGTATTAAACATAAAACTAGAAATTAATGCAGATAATAGAACCTGGGCACAACACAGCAACACTGAATGGTTTTTGTTCCCTTAATTTTTTGCATGCTGATGCCAGAATTGTTAAATTTTCATGTGTAAGGCCAGGCACCGGAACCCACATTTAGACACCCTAAATAGGTAGCCTGATTTTCATAGATGAGCCCTGAAGCTCCTACTGAAAAGTTTAGTCTGAAAAAGAACATGTGCAACTCTACATATTTGCACATTAAATTGATGCTCAAAAGCAACCCAGCACCCTAAAAGAAGTTTTCCATTTTAATAAGGTACAAGTTATTCTTTTACTAGCGAAATAATCTTTGTCTAGATCAGGGGTGGGCAAACGTTTTGGCTCGAGGGCCACATCTGGGAATAGAAATTGTATGGTGGGCCATTAATGCTCACAAAATTGGGGCTAGGGTGCGGGAAGGGATGACAGCTCTGGTTGGGGGTGTGGGCTCCAGGGAGGGGCCAGAAATGAGGAGTTCAGGGTGCGGGAGGGGACTCTGGGCTAGGGCAGGGGAGTAGTGTGTGGGGGTTCAGGCTCTGTCTCGGGGTGCGGGCTCCAGGGTGGGGCTGGGGATGAGGAGTTTGGGGTGTGGGAGGCTCTGGGCTGGGACTGAGGGGTTCAGAGGGCAGGAAGGGGATCAGGACTGGGGCAGGGGGTTGGGGTGCAGGAAAGGGTCCAGGCTCCGGTGGGGGTGCAGGCTCTGGGGTGAGGCTGGGGTTAGGGTGCGGGAGGGTGCTCTGAGCTGGGATTGAGGGGTTCAGAGGGTGGGAAGGGGATCAGGGATGGGGCAGGAGGTTGGGGCACAGGGAGAGGCTTAGGGGTGCAAGCTCTGGGTGGCGCTTATCTCAAACAGCTCCCGGAAGCAGTGGCTATGTCCCCACCCTGGCTCCTATGCGGAACCGTGGCCAGGCAGTTCTGCGTGCTGCCCTGTCCGCAGGCACTGCCCCTGCAGATCCCATTGGCCGCAGTTCCCGGCCAATTGGAGCTGTGGGGGCAGCACGCAGAGCAGAGCCCCCTGGATTCCCCTACACAAAGGAGCCGGAGCGGGGCCATACAGCTGCTTGTGGGGGCAGCGTGGAGTGGCCCCCGACCCTGCTCCCTGGCTAGAACGCTGGAGTGGGGCAAGCCCCAGACCCCGCTCCCCAGCGGGAGCTCGAGGGCTGGCTTAAAATGTCTAGACCGTCGGTTGTAGTTTGCCCACCCCTGGTTTAGATATAAACCTTTTAGAAAAACCTAATTTGTCATGTATTTCAATTCAGTAACAGCTATACAATTTACAATCAAAGTTATATTATTCATTATCTTAAACCAAAGGAAGTTATATTTTACCAGAAAACAATGGTTAAATATTTGCTGTTATAAATATGGCAAATTTTTAATATACATCCCTTCAAGATTGCCAAAAGTTTCAAGCCACTTCAAGGTTTCATTCTTCAAGTGATAATTTCTGAACTTGCACTATTAACTCATACTTTTTATATAAATACTTGCAGATTACTATGTTACATTTCCTGAGTTATAAGTTCATGTAATTAAAAGCTGCAATACTGCACAAGTACAGGAGGTAAAAATACTGTCACAATGCAAACCTTAACCCTGAGTTTCCTGATTTTGGGGAGATTAAAACCTCAACAGTATTGCACTAACTATGGGCCCAGTGCTGCTCTCAGGAAAGTAAAATTCCATTAATTTACTAAGAGCAGGGATGGGCTCAAATACTAGGGCTTGGATCCTGCATGCTTTTCTCTCAATGACTTCACTGGGACTTCTCACGAGAGCAAGTGCTCAAATACTAGCCAAGGATATATCCTATAAGGAAGTGAATTAATCCTGTGCCAGATGTGATTACGCTGTGTTTTATGTCATATTTCTACATTCTGCTGGGCCAAGAGATTATATGCATGTTGTGGTTGGCGTCACTGTACTGTTCTATTTTCTCAAGGCTAGTTAAAATGTATCAGCCAACAGTAATTGTAAGTACATTAAATTCGTTCATTAAATTCACTTTTGTTTCCACTAAAAGGAGGAGACAAACAGGAAATTCCATTTGCTGAAGACCTCAAATGTTAAGCTAAAAAAGCCTATGCTTAGTGGAGGAGTGACGAAAAAGCATTTTGCCGGTAAGAAATCTGCATAACCCATTACAGATAACTACTGACCCCTTTCAGATCTATTTGAAAAGCCAAAGCAATTTTTGAGAGCTACTATCAGGATCTCTCAAACTTTGCATGTCACATCCATCTCTGTTCAACAGGACAGGGAGGGATTTTTTTTGGTTTGTTTTTTTAAAACAAGGCCAGCCAGATGGAGAAGATCATTATTAAGAACGGATGGATTTGTTCAGTAAATAAGAATATCTCCAGAAGATGTGTTTCAGTTTATACTGTAATTAGGTGATCACTTTTAAAAGAAGTATATATAACTATTAGCAGTATAAATAGGTTTTATACAAGATAATGGGAAAAACAAGCAGAGATTTAAATTTTGAACTAGATGTTCAGATGCCTTGATAAACTGTTATTAGTCTGCGAGAGCTTAAAATCCCTGATTATGGATTCAGTGTCATTCAGGTTCTGAAACTAGAGACAACTGGATTTATGAGCAGAACAGCCAAATCATTTTAGAAACAGTTTAATTTACAAATACACTTTTACAAAGGATATTACAAAAATAATCAAACATTGTGCAAAACCTCCACTGACTTGTATTTGGTTACAATGATAGGAAACTGGTCTTTCTGAACCTCATTTAAATTAGGAAGTTAACATTTCTAGCAGAGCCTCTATTCCTTTTACATTTTTATTGCATTTCAATTTCGGAATGAGGCTTTTTAGTCCTCCTTTGACTTTATTTGCCACTTCTTGATCTGTGCTTCGGAGAAGGCTACAAGAAAGGGGGAGAAAACATTATATTTCAAAAGGTCAACTTTTAAGTCAAACGAAAATACTGTCAGACAGTATAAATAAAATCATTAACTATTTAAAAAGAGACCTGCTTCAGGCCAGGTACTGATTTTCTCTCTCTCACACAGAGACACACAAAAAGATATGGAAACAATTCCACCAGACAGTACCCAGCAAATGATGGCATAGCTCTATAGTGGATCTTGTAGTCTCTACTTGACACTCTGGGCTTTCTACACTCCAGAACCATAGAATAAAAATAAACCATGTAAAGTTCTGTTACCCTGGAAAGCCAGTTTCCTCGCTTAAAAGTAGTATTATTTCAGCAGTGAAAAGGATGTATAACTAATAGGAATGGGATGAAATTAAGAAAAAAAAATTAGGATGATCATCAGGAAAAAAGCTTCCCAGCAGTGAGGTTAGTCTACACAGAACATTTTCACCTAGGTAAGCAGCAGTAGGATGCCCTGTTGCTTAGGACTTTACACTATGAGGAACAAACATCCATTGGCTAGGTGATGGACAACAGATCTTTAACATCTCCAACTTCTACGGTTTTTACCATGAACTTGCGATTAGCCAACTATAACCTCTTGTTAATTTGCTAGGTTCTTAACAAGGATAAATAGACCAAGCATGGAATGTGAAAAGAGGCATTAATATAGTTTGTTTATATACAAATCGATCTCCTCCCTATGACCTAAAATCCCACCGAGGCTGATGGTACAAGAGCCAGGAAGCCACGCCACATCCAATAAAGAGCAGTTCTATTTTCAGCTACTTTATTCCGAGATGTAATTCTTTGACTATGGACTTATAAGTCCTACTGGGAATTTCTGTTAAGCTTTTAGTTATAACTAGAAGTTCTCTTACAATCTAAGGGGGAACTTTGTTTCTTTTAAAAAAAAAAAAGAACCCAACACAGATAAAGGTCATATTCATATTGCCTATCCACAAGCAACACAAACTAGTAAGGAGCACGAGAAGCAGGATACTGAAAAAAACATGCCAAGTATGTAGAAAATTAACATTCTATAAGGTAAAAAGCAAGAAGAAACTGGTATGGTTTACCATTTGGAACAGAGCATATTACAGTGTAATCCACTCTGGACTGCTTTTTATAAATTTCTGATGAAAAGTTTTATTTATTAACTGCTCACATGAGCTGAGTTTTGTATAGCAGTTTGCAAGCTTTTTGAATTAACAAACTGAACAGGAATTTCAGATCCCCATATTCTTTAAAGAGAATAATTGCTGAATATTTGCAATTATGTATTCTAAAGGGGCAAAATATATGTTGTCCTCTTTGACTCATAAGACCTCTTACTTGCATAAAAAGCCTTATGTATTTTGCCGATACAATATACAGGAATTCTAAAAGCTATGCCTGTTATTCTTGACACACATTTTTTCATGGTCTCTCAATACTGGATATAATCCTTATGTCCAGGTTATCAGGCATTCAAATACCATGGCAATGGTTGAAGTATAAGAACTTAAAGAGAATAGTATCATTCATGTAGTGGTTCCATATAATTTTAATTCTGAGCAAGTTGCCAATAGGAAATTGCACTGTGCTATGTGCACAAGTGAACTGGATTCTGATCTTACATTAGCTGAACACTCGTGTAACTCCACTTAGATGTCAATAGAACTACGCCTAATTTACACCAGTCTGCGATCAGAACCAGGAGACCTTTGATTCTCCATTATAAAATCCAGTTCATCAAGGGTGACAAAAATATCAGAAGTGTTCAGCATATGCTATGGTGATTAACAGACTACACATTTGCGACACAAAATAGGGCAGCAATTTAAGCTTCTATAAATACCAAAGCCAAGACCTTCAAGTGAATTGGATTGGTAAAGCAGAGATTTAGATAGGCATATGAATAGATGCTTCTATAAACTAACAAACAATGAACAAAAATCAAATTCTGCAGGCAGAAAGTGCACTTTTAAAACAGGAACAAGCAAAAGACAGATAAAATCCTACAGCCATTTGGGCTCCTTACTGGCAAAAGGAGAAACTGACAGAAATATCAGGGGCACCTTTTATATGTACATCTTTGTTTTGTTTTTTGTATTTCAACAACATTTTAAATATTTTATGTAAAAAAATATTGTAGTCATTACCCGTATCTGATTAAAGTACTTTTTGAGCTCAACACTGCTGTATAATTTACGCAGCATCTTTAGACTAAAAGCATGCAATTAAGCATGGATAAGATTAATTATTACACATTATGGAAGTTAAATGAGTGCCACACAAAATGAAGGAAAAAAGCAGCTCGTCAAGTTGCTCTGAGCATCTTACAATAACAAAAAAATAATGCATGAAAAGCTGATAAAAACCTGAAAGCTGTAATTTATTAATTAGCAAATAAATAAATATATCTGAAGCCCTTGAAAGAATTCCTATCTACAAAGATGAATTTGTGATGAAAGCCTGGAAATTCTAGTACAAGAGGAAACGACATACTTATAAACCAGTGTGTATGTGTGTCTCCCTCTCCTTTGGGGAGGGGTTAGATTTTAGTATTGGTGAAAGACGTTGGATTGACAATCTTGGAAAACAATTCCTCTCTGAAGCCACAGAGCATCAGTAATCCACACTTCCCAAACAACCTCCCTCAATCGTGACCCAAATTACCAGCTCCAGGGGTAGGCAAGGTCTCCATTCACATTCTGTCCTTGGTCTCTCCACTGAGATTACTACCAAGTGTGTCACAGTCAGCACTAACTGTTGTGAGGTTTGAGGGGTGGATGCTTGTCTACTAGGAAATTAACTGAATCTACAAACTGTTAGGGTACCAATCAATGTTTCAGTCACTAATGACCTGAACTTGTGACATAGCAATTAAAATTGATTTACAAACTTTTACATCTCCCACATATTCTTTCACAAGTTAAGGAAGTATGGGCTGGATGAATGCACTACAAGGTGGGTAGAAAGCTGGCTAGATTGTCGGGCTCAACGGGTAGTGATCAATGGCTCCATGTCTAGTTGGCAGCCGGTATCAAGTGGTGTCCCCAAGGTCGTCCTGGGCCGGTTTTGTTCAATATCTTCATAAATGATCTGGAGGATGGTGTGGATTGCACTCTCAGCAAATTTGGGATGATACTAAACTGGGAGGAGTGGTAGATACGCTGGAGGGGAGGGATAGGATACAGAAGGACCTAGACAAATTGGAGGATTGGGCCAAAGAAATCTGATGAGGTTCAATAAGGATAAGTGCAGGGTCCTGCACTTAGGACGGAAGAACCCAATGCACAGCTACAGACTAGGGACCGAATGTCTAGGCAGCAGTTCTGCAGAAAAGGACCTAGGGGTGACAGTGGACGAGAAGCTGGATATGAGTCAGCAGTGTGCCCTTGTTGCCAAGAAGGCCAATGGCATTTTGGGATGTATAAGTAGGGGCATAGCGAGCAGATCGAGGGACGTGATCGTTCCCCTCTATTCGACATTGGTGAGGCCTCATCTGGAGTACTGTGTCCAGTTTTGGGCCCCACACTTCAAGAAGGATGTGGATAAATTGGAGAGAGTCCAGCGAAGGGCAACAAAAATGATTAGGGGTCTGGAACATATGAGTTATGAGGAGAGGCTGAGGGAGCTGGGATTGTTTAGCCTGCAGAAGAGAAGAATGAGGGGGATTTGATAGCTGTTTTCAACTACCTGAAAGGGGGTTCCAAAGAGGATGGCTCTAGACTGTTCTCAATGGTAGGAGATGACAGAACGAGGAGTAATGGTCTCAAGTTACAGTGGGGGAGGTTTAGATTGGATATTAGGAAAAACTTTTTCACTAAGAGGGTAGTGAAACACTGGAATGCGTTACCTAGGGAGGTGGTAGAATCTCCTTCCTTAGAGGTTTTTAAGGTCAGGCTTGACAAAGCCCTGGCTGGGATGATTTAACTGGGAATTGGTCCTGCTTTGAGCAGGGGGTTGGACTAGATGACCTTCTGGGGTCCCTTCCAACCCTTATATTCTATGATTCTATGATTCTATGAAAAGGTCCCATATTCATTACAAATCCTGTGATTTATCCAGTTTCTCTTAATACTAGTGACCAGGCTTGGTAATTTTCTGGGAGAATTCAGAGAAGGAAATGTGGCAGTCTACAAATTATTAAACCAAAGTGAATTATGTATATTTTGATGGAACACATGTACAGTCATATGATTTTAGACACAGCACCTGTAAAAGGTACAGATATATTTTTTTAAATCAAAAAGTCAATGTGACTACCATACAGTGGTATCTGAATCATCATTAAGACTACGATTTTGTTGCGGAAGTCACGGAATCCATGACTTCAGCCCTGGAGGCTGGGAGCTGCAGGGTCCCACTTCCTCCTGCAGCGGCAGGGAGCTGTGAGGTATCCCTGTCGCTTGAGGAAGCGAGGCCCCAACCTCTGAGCTGCCATGGGCAGCAGGGGCACCCCTGCAGCTCCCTGGCTGCTGTGGGGCTAGGGGCACCCTGGAGCTCTAAGTCCCCACTGGAAGTGGGGGCTCTGAAGATCCCAGCCAACCAGCCCCTTCCCATTTTATCATGGATATTTTTAGTAAAAGTCAGGGACAGGTCACAGGCTTCCATGAATTTTTCTTTATTGCCTGTGACCTGTCTGTGACTTTTACTAAAAATATCCATGAGAAAAATCTTAGCCTTAATCATTAAAACGTGAAGGGTGAAGATAGACAATTTCTTGAATACTCTAATATGTAGGATGAAAATAATTCAATAAAGGGTACATATATAAAGAATACTGCCAATGGCACCAGGGATGAGTTAATCTTTTAAACAAATCTCAAAGCCCTAAGTTAAGGACAAATGTTAAGTAACAACATACTGTCAATGTACGAATCATTCTACACAAATCCTACTGAATATCTGTGTGCAGGATTAGAGAATTTAAAGGAATTAAATGTGCTCATCAAACATTAGGGGTCTGTTTACAAAAGCTAAGGAAAAAAGATGTGAAAACTCTTTGTAAGTCAAACAATTCTATCACAATGCAGAGTTTACTAAATTAGTTTGAATGCAAATAGTATGTTTCACGACCAATTCCCATCAACAGCAACCCTACTGAAGTTTGCAAAACAGAATTAAAACTGGTTTCAGAGTAGCAGCCGTGTTAGTCTGTATTCGCAGAAAGAAAAGGAGTACTTGTGGCACCTTAGAGTAAGGTGCCACTAAGGTGCCACAAGTACTCCTTTTCTTTTTGAGAATTAAAACTGAACTTGGATCACAATAATCACATTTTCATCACTTAAATGGTTTCTAATTATTTACAGAATCAGTCTGAGCATCAGACTATCCTTACCCTACAGCAATAGGAATTAGAGTTGGAAAGCAAAGAGACAGATTCAACTAAATGATTTTTTTTTTTTTAAATTTACAAAGGATATTTTGTCTACTTCAAGTTGCTAGCTGTGTTTGACTCAGTTCTGTCAGATACTTATGAAAAGCTAATTAGGTAATTTTGTTATCTCTGCTCAACTGAGAGTTTTGAAACCTCACAGGTTAGATGTTTAGGGTTTTCTAAGCCACCCATTTCCAGATTTCCCTGATGTGACACTGAAAGTTTCTATTACAAAGTGAAACGGACACCTATTTACTAAATGCCAACAAATGTATTAATAAGCAAAGTAGGATGGTCTAATCCTGGGGAGGTAAGGAAGACAGTGGGCTTTGTGGCTCATGACTTTATTACAGAGAACAGGTTGGCACATAATACACTTTTGCATGGCTTACTCTAAGAACCACCACCCCTCCAGCCCAGGAAGAACACCACAAACATAACTCCAATACCACAGGAAAGGCCTTGAGAGACAGCCTGTACAGCAGACAAACTGAACAACATTTTACAGAAGATGCCCGAATACCTGTTTGCTACCTTTGAATACAGGCACATCCAAGAACAGAACATATTTAGTATATACTGGCATATTGTTTCAGGATTTTCATACACTTGGTAGGGACACTGGTGGGCACAGTGTTAGAAATAAGTAAGTTTTTCAATCTCTAGAAGGCTTTTCCAGCACAGAGCTATTTCATAGCAGTACCAAAGCTTGAGCTCAGGGAGCTAATAGGTTTGGTCTGTGCTTGCATGTGCCAAGTGTTATTCTCTACAGCAGTGGTGGGCAACCTGCAGGCTGCACGCGACCTGTTAGGGTTATTGGTGGGCCGCGAGACAGCATTTACATTGACCGTCAGCAGAGACATGCTGGCCGCTGCTTCCCGCAGCTCCCATTGGTTGGGAACGGTGAACTGCGGCCACACCTGTGGACAGTCAACGTAAACACTGTCTCGCGGCCCGCCAGCAGATTACCCTGATGGGCCGTGTGCAGCCGGCGGGATGCAGGTTGCCCACCACTGCTCTACAGCATGCTTGTAAACACCACAATTAAAAGCAAGTACGTTAAGTGTGTGAAAACTGACTTATTTTGGCTGAAAACTTGAATGGCATTCTCTGTATAAGAGTTAAAACAATGGGACCCAATTAGAAACACACATGTGTCCTACATACCAACAAAGAACCATGGCACCTCGATTTACTTCTGCCCAGGACTTCATATTCTTAATGCTGACACATTCCACCAATGTTCTTGCAAAACATCCTATTAGATGGGAAAAAAAGAGCGAGGTGAAATTACTCAACATGGCCTACTCAAAAGTCCTCTGTAACAGTGATTTAATCAAACATTTTAATCCAATCTATATTTAGAAGCTATTGCTTACTGTCAAAATAATTGACTATTCAATACAGTCAATACCTTTGCAAACGTGAGACTAATTCTAAGCAATGCTTAGAATTAATTAGACAATAGCAACACTGAATTGTATGAAAACTCACTGGTATAAAGACAGACACACATTTGTTTCTTTCTACTATTTAATTGTTTAACAGAGTACCAAAAGCTATTCATGTTTTAAAAGCATGTTTCTACACTGAAAAGGAACTTGGTAAAGGGTGCCTTGCTACTGAAAAGATCTGCTTCCTGCATGCATTCAATCATCGTCACTTACTTTCAAGACCAAAACAAGATCAAGTTTTGCACCTGTTATCCCTGCTGTCAGCATGGCTAAGAGTAAGAAGGTTCTATCCCTTCTCATGCATTGCCAACAGAATTATTTAAATTTATTCCCATTACGGGCCTTCAGCTGCCTCTGTTCAATGCCACTGGAGCAACAGAGTTTACACTTGTGTCCCTGAGGGCACAACTGGTCTTGCAGAACCATTGATACTGGTGATGTGTAAGAAGGGAAGAGCGCAGTGTGACTTTCAGATCCCAGGCTGAGTTTGCACAAGTGGCCTTTAGAAAAACATTTAAATTGTAAAATTATCATCAAATTTGATCTTGAAACTGAGAAACTATAAACACCGAATTCCATTTTAAAGTCACTTTACAGAGTAGAACTGCACATTAGGGACTGATCAACTACCAGTTGTCTAAATTAGGCTGGTAGATAAAAGATATTCAGACAAAATTCCCCCCTTTAACATTTGAATGATGGAACTGACAAAAAGTTCTAATTCAATACTAATAAGGAATTAAAACTGTGCCAACCCAAACTCTGACAGAGAACAGTAGATATCAGAACTATAGCGAGACCAAAAAAAAGAAAAAAAAAAGATAGGTTAAACATAGACCAATATAATTAATGCACCAAAAAAAGCCTAGTAACGTCTACTCCATAATCATCTGAACTCCTATCTCAGCTTTTATATCAGCATTAGAAGCAGGCATCTGGTAAAAAATGTGAAACCATACTAATAGGGATTTCTATGTATTGCCTTTGAAAGAAAAGTGTAGCAGGGGTTCAACACAGTTGCATGGAAATTGTCGCAAATTAAAGACAATTAAACACTGCAAAAAAAATCAGAGCTGCCTGTAGGACAATTGTTTCACAGCAACTTTTGAAATGTTTTAGTTCTGCACTGGTTTCCAGATTGGAAACCTGAGAGCTTCTGTGCACATTTTTTCCTCTCTCTCAATCCTTCCGTAGGAAAATGTAGTCAAAAACCAATATATTTCCATCTGTTCCATGAAGTAACATCTCAAAAATATTTCAACCAGCTCTAATAAAAAAAAATACACACACTACATAATCTGTTTCCCAATCTGTTGCATTCGAGATACCTAATGGTGCTTAGTAAAAGCTCTCAGTAAAAAAACCATACAAGTTTTGCATAAAAAGATTATTTTACTAGGATGGTAGAAAGACATCTTAGGCCAGGTTGAAAAAATCCACAAGGTACTAGATTTTGTTGCTCTATAGCAAAAAGTTGAATTAATTTTTTTTAAGATTACATTCCGGATGATAACATCTGTGCCATAAAATAGCAGAGATGTGCTATATTTGAGGTGAAATTTTATAATGCAAGTGGTAACCCAGCAGCAGTAACAAATACACTCTAGTAATTACAGGTCTGCTTAGCTGGTGATCACAATATTCATAAACTGGAATAAAACATCACATTTTCTAATTAGAAAGATGCCATCTTCAATCTTGTCTATGTTTTAAATAGCTTTAACATGCTAACAGATAGCTTTAACATGCTAACATTTATTAAGTAAAATGGCAAAGGAATAGACTACACTCTTGATACCAGCAAAGCACATTTGGGATCTTCTGTTTCTAAAAAACAGGTCAACCTCCTCTGGTGGAAAAAGTGAGCTTAGCTTCCATCACTTCACTCATACAGCATCTCACAACTGCACAGAGACAAAATACTTTTTATGTACATCTAAAGTACATTTAAACCATTTATTGCCTCTTTGCCACCTTTTACATATTCTGATACATCTAAAAATTTACACAACAATCTTTTGTTTGAACCTACACAATGAGTTTAATTATGCTGAAAGCTGACATATGGTCTATTAAAGATGAATTTCCCAGCCTACCTTCTCTTCCATTATCTCTCATTTTTTCATCTTGCCCTATTAACCATTTCAGAACCAGATGGCCTGCTGGATGCTCTGCAATGTGAAGCTTTAAACAAATCAATGATTAACTGTTAGACTCAGGAGTCTTTCACACATGTATTGGTGCGCTTATGCTTGAAACGCAAAGTACACTGTCAGATGATTTTATAAAAAAAATTCCAACTTGCTCCCCCCAACCCGCAACACATCATATTGTGCCATTTCACCACTATTAGCGATGAGCAAATATCAAAACAGATGAGAATGTAAGTGCTTGGATGCTTATTCAAACATTAACTTATAGAGGTGCAACCCATTCCCCATTCCAGACTGTCAGTGCACAGACTACATCCTCTGCTCCTCACTAGCCAACCCTTTCCCCTGGCCTGCAAACACACCTTCAGCTTCCCAGTAACACATAAGTGTAGTTTCCTGGTCTAGCTGCCTCTATGCACGTCTGTGGCTCTTCCAAATTTTCACCAGCTGACACGCACTGAAAAATGGCTTTTATGGAAATCCAGAGCTTGTTGGAATATATAAGAGGTCCACGTGGAAGTCTAGCACAGATTGGTCATAAAATGGTGGAAGTGGGGTTTATGTGCAAAGAGAAGGAGATCAGAGATATGAGCTGTGAAAGAAATCACAACTAGAAAAGGTAAGTCAGTGAGGTGCTTTGATGGCAGTCTGGATATCATAGGGCAAGGAACACTGGTGGTCCTGAACTTTTATAAGTTGGTTTTAGTTCAGCTTGGAACAGACAAGAAGTTTAAAACAGCTCTTATTTTATAAAGAACTATATTTGACTTCCATCCCTAATCATTAAACCAACTTCCTGTCTCCCTCTCCAACAGAATCTTGAAAGTGATCTAGTATCTCACAGCTCATATTCACAGGATCAGACATGTTCAGCTAGAAGGGACATCAAGAGGGTCACCTAGTCCAGCTCCCTGTGCTGAGCCATTCAATGTGTGCACAAAAACACTGGAGTAGAGGGGTGGTTTTCGCTGTGGTACCATGAATACATGCAGCTTTACCTCTCAAAACTGGAAAATGCATTATCTTTGCTTTCCCAAAAATCAGGCCAACTTGGGGAATTGGGCGAGAGCAATTTGGCTGAAAGTTCATTCAAGCAAGGCAGAGGGAATGAGGACTGTAAATGCTTGCCCAATCACACAGTATGCTGAGGATGCTATTTGCATTGTGACGGAAGGGTCTATCGAGAGAGTTGTGCATTGTGACTGAGGGGTTTATCAATAAAGCTTGTAATCTTGGGATACTTCTAGATTCCCAGCTCTTCCTGGAGTTCCCCATGGTTGTGGAAACCACACATGCATGTCTGAAGACACAGTCTGACTTTAGCTTACTGATGAAGTTAGCAATATTACAATAAACTGCTATAGGAATCCAACCTTCTTTCCTTGTCAGAAAGTTAAGAAGTTGGATCTTGGTGCCCCTTCCCCGTGTGCAGGTGTGTGCTTATTTTAGTAGCTCACACCCACTGAACTCCTTCACAAAGATAATATCTTAATTGTGAGCAGAAATTCTTTATAGTCTCATTTAACTGCTACCACTACAACTCGAGAGATTCTGTATAATATACATTTCTGCCACTCACAAAAAATGTAAATCCACTGTCAGAGAAAGACTTTTTTACACACTAGTCTGGCAGATTCTAGACTACAGAGAGGCAAATGAAATGCTTAGCTAAGCCATCATTATTTCAAATGCAGTTACAATATATAAATACACAAGACATGGCCAGAAAATGCAACAGAAAGTGCAGATTCACATTAACAGGGAATGTTTCAGAGCGCAGCCAGTAAAGCATGTGTTAGGTAACTGTAGTAAATCTTATTTATTTAAATGATACAATGGAAACAAATTCACAGCAATCTCTCGACTGCTTGCCCTGTGTTAGATGCCTTACCTACCTGCCCATCTTTGCCACCTGGAACCAGCTCCTCTGCTGCCAAACTAGCAATTGCATTCATGGCAGGCTGGACATCACCAAGAACAGATCCTAAAACATCAGCCACCAAGACGCACGTAGCTTTGTCCATCACCATTTCTTGGGCATGTTCTTGCAGATAACCTAACAAGGCCGGGGAAATGGCTTCTAAAAGTTCACAACGGCGCACATCTGAATCTTTTTTACTGGTGAAATAGTAATACACAATATGGTGGTCCGATTATTGCAGAAAACTTGTTTTGTATAAAGGATCAAGTAAAATTAAATTCAATCCATGTTTGCTATTTAGACAGATGATGTCCTCATTAAAAGGTCAAATTAAAAAAAAAACACAGTCCCTTTTCTGTATTCCACAGCAAATCAAGTTTAATATGATCTTTGGATAACCATCAGAGGTTTTAAAAATAACCAGAACGAGAAAAGTGTCCAATCAGGTGACACAGTAGTCTTTAACTTTCAAGGTGATTGCCAATGTGCCATACACACCAATTCCACCCTTTCATTTTAATTCTTATTTGTCCTGCCATTGTCATCATCTCAAAGCTCTAACAGAGACTGTGTAAGGAAAACTGTTCACAGAGCATTGTGAAATTGCCATCTCTGCAGTATTTAACAAACATCAGCATCAGTTAAACTAGCAGAATGGCAAAATAAATATCCTTCAAAATCCCACAGTGTATCTTGAGCCTGCCAGACTGGTTTATTACGGTCTCAAATAAGGCAACACATAAAGAAGGGCTGCTGATGCACAAAGGAGAAATACAGATAAGTGACCAATGCATTAATTATTTAAGAAAAACTAAGTTCAGCTTTTTAAAAAATTATCTAAATTAGACCGTGTGGGGGGGCTGAATTAGAACTAAAATCTTCTATTTTTACTGCTAGATTTCAAGTTTACTCTTGTACAACTTAGAACACCAATGATGGATGTGCCAAAAAAAAAAAAAAAGCTTTAAATCTGTTCTGAGACTTTAACTAGTTTAGCAAAGGGTAAAAATTGTCTTCTCCTTTGTACAGTTGAAATACTACTGCAACCCAAATACAGTCACTATGCACATATATTAGGTATATATCTAGGCAGAAATCACATCACAACTGTTACGATTTCTGTCAGATAGCGGACACATTTATTTGCTTTCGGTGGTTTGGTTTGTATGTGGGTTTGTAGAGTGAGAAGAAATAAAAAGTTATAGAAACTGCAAAATATTAACTCAGCAAAATTAATGACATTATTTGGAAACCAATTGTGGTAACTGATCTTCATAAAGAAGCTGTCACGGTCTTTAAACCAAAAAAACAAAAACAATGACTAAGTGTCCTGTTCAAAAAGCTGGAGTTGGCAAAACGTGTGTGGATTGTTTCAGCCTGCCAGTTATGCATTTTAGTTACCTGTAAGCATTTCCATCTCCCTGTTGCAGAATTTTGACAATCTCTGGTAAGAAATGTGCAGGATCCCTTGGACTTAGCAAGTACAACAGGACCTTCCTTCCATATTTGTTGTTTACAATATTGGGCAAAGAACCACTTATCTCCTGTAAATATACACAAACATCAATAACACACTGCTGGAAGAATACTTTTCAGCAACAAACCTGGTCTGAGTACTTTCAGACTGAAAGCTGGGGAAAGAGAGGTCATAATTTATAGTTACATGATACAATTCAAAACCCAGTGTATAACGTCTAGGTGGAGTTTGTCAATGTATAGTGCTGAATGAGATCAAGTTTTGATATTTGATTTTTGTTTGCAAAATGCTCTGATATCCTTGGATGGAAGATAAAATAGAAGTACAAATTATTATTTGCATTACCATAGTGTTCACACTTCCTGAAATCAGGGCCCCATCGTGTGAGGTGCTGTACAAACATGTAGTAAGAGACAGACTTCTCCCCAAAGAAGTTACAATCCCAACAGACAAAAGATGGAAGGGAACACATTATCACAGCACCCAGGTATAGCCAACACCACGAGTCATCAGGTGTGATTATCAACCAACTGTACATCTATGCAGCAGCCAGCATGCAAAGGACAGTCGAGGATGGGGAAGAAGACAAAGAAGTTATCCTGAAGTCAGCTAGGCAGAGAACATCCAGCAGCAATAATTAATTGTAAGTAACAAAGTAAGCCACATTTCTGCTAGGAGAATAACCATTATCACTTGTAGTTTACTGAAGCATTAGTAACAAATACAGAGGGTATTTCCTAGGGATTAATGGCTGGCTAGGAAAAATCATTACATAAACAAGAATGCTGGTGCACAACGCACATGTGTCCCTAGAGGCGTGTCGAAAAACTCACTGATAGGCCACGATTTTTTGTTTTGTTTATTGAAGAGTGCCTATATATTCAAAAAGAAGTATCTATTACCAGCAGTACGTTTTCTGTGTGTTCATGTTCTGTTCTTCCTGCTTTGTGTGTACACATTTTGTTTTAAGTTGGCAATATGATTTTGCCTTCCAATTGCAGGACATTGCAGAAGAATTAATACCCTGTACGTTAGCCAAAGAGTTTTCAAAAACTGTTACAGCAGACTTAAGGTAAATATTAATGCACATTTCAGTTATATTTTCTGAAACAAAAGGGATGGTGTTACAGAGCTCTGGGCAATTTCAGTATATTTTATGTCCCTACTGTTTGTAAGTAACCCTTCTGCTTTTCAAAATCCCTTAAAATCCCTGGTTTCCAGCAAGGAAATCCTTCAACAACAGCTGGTAAAAGATGAAGTGAACAATTGAACCAGTACCTCTTCACCCTTTGTCTCCCAAAACACATGCTAATAAAGATTATGTTCTGTGTGGGTGGTGGGAAGGCTGGGCAGAAGACAGCAAGACTGTTATTACCTAAAATATGAAGAAAATCCACAAAAGCAGGTAAAATTTTGTTTAGTGGAAAAATGTGCACATTTTACACACACTGCTTTAGGATATCCAAAGTATTAATCTGGCACTGGCTTCTGGATTAGTTATTGCACTTCTCATTTCTGTAGTCTTCACACTTCAGGCCTTGGCCAGAGTGTATTCTCTGTGCAATAAAACATGTATTCTCTTCTCACTAGGGGTTAGGACTGAGACTTGAACATTACTGCATGAATGTCACTTACACTGTACATCAGAATCAACCAGCCAACAAAGACAAACAGAGTACTTCAAAACTCAACGTAGCAGTCATCTGAAATGGCTAATTTAGTAACAAAGGTATCTTGATGGTCATATTGACTTAACATAATAAAGACAATATATTCATCTGGAGTCTGAAATCAATATACATTACATAAGTTTTCAAGACCATAACTACTACTTTGTTCACTGAAACAAAAGCATAACCCTAGTTATTTTTAATAAATTCTGTATTAGAGAATTTTGTGGCTTTTTGTTATAGGACCATAGAAAAATACTCAAGAAAAATTTAAGAAACACAGTCATGTAATGTCTCGTTGCCAACACCTTCCATATTGCAGTCTTTAAGAGACTAGATACAGACTTTGCGTCTATTACCACCATGAATGAGAGCTTTTTACTCAAAGTCCAGACATGTGGCTAGCCCAATTTACAGTTCCAACCATGAGGGCCGAAAGAAGCAGAGATGTTTTTTGGATCTAGGATTAGGGCTCGGTGTAGCCAAAAAAGTTGACTGGAATAAAGGTTTTCCTTTTGCCCTTTAGAAAAAGTAACTTTCCCTTAGTTCCCTAACAGCCAGCAAGCCACATAGGGATTCAAATTTTGTAACACTACAAAAGCAGAGACTAGTTCTGTCAAACACCATAGCATTGTGACCTCCCAGTAATAAAGATTTATTTTCTTAGCATCCCAAGGAGTGTTTTTTTGTTTTTTTTTGAACATTCTTTTCACTGTAGAGGCTTGTTAGATTCATTTCTATATGAGATCTAATTCATCTGCATCTCTAGAAGGCTGAGACACATTTGTGACAGATATGGCAATTTCCTGAAATATTCCTGGAAGGCCTTATTGTATGATGTATCATTGTGGGCTGGGATCATATGCAACTTCTCTAGGCAGCAGTTCTGAACCAGGGGCCTGGTTTCAGGTCTGCCAAGCAGGGCCAGCATTAGATGCACTGGGACCCAGGGAAGAAAGATGAAGCCCCACCACCCAGGGCTGAAGCTGAAGTCTGAGCAACTTAGCTTTGTGGGGCCTCCGGCAATTGCCCTGCTTGCTATCCCTAACACCAGCCCTGGCTTTTATATGTAGAAAAAAGTTGTTGTGGCACAGGTGGGCCATGGAGTTTTTATAGCATGTTGGCGGGGGGGGGGCAGAGGGAAGATGAGGGACTCAGAGAAAAAGACTGAGAACTCCTGCTCTAGGGGGTAGATATGACAAATGAGACACCTGGGAGCTCAAAAGACTATACTGAAAATTTGCAAGAAAAAGTATGGACTTTGGGGACAATAAGTTTTAAGTTGATTTCCTGTGGAATTCTTAGGGAGAAGTTAAAGCAAATTCCCAACTTGAGTTATGCAAAAACCCAGCCTTTTGAAGCTATGCACTGAGAAGAGGATCATTGTCAGCTGATTATCTATTACAGAAGGCCAAGATCAGTAAAGAAACAGCTGATCTGCCAGCCTCTGTTCTGGAGCTAAGAGAGATGAACTTCTATTCAAAGGGGAAAAGCCAGTTGTGGGTTTTCAAGAACTGAAACTGACCAGAGGCCAAGGCTGGAGTTTGGGGTAAGTTCTGGTAAGTTTTTTCACATGCGTGTAGGTTCGTTTATTGTTTTAATATGTTTTCTCTGTAATGCTTCTACCTTAGGAATAGATGTACTTGCTTAGAAGAAGCTGTGTGGTAACCTATACTTGTGGGCAATACACTGGTCAGGGCCCCCAGAGAGAAAGCAAACCACAGGCGTTGGCCTTTTTAGGCAGTCTGGCTAGCTGGGGATATCATAATGTAAGGCAGGGAGCTGTGCAGCATCCGGTCAGGAGGAGTACAACAAGCATCACCACCCAAGAGAGGTGATAACTGGGAGTTGAAAGCATAAAGTTGGTTGCCCTTAGTGGGCCATGGAGCAGGAATACAGGTGCACTTGCCCTGAAAAACTGTAATATTCTTTAGCCAATTTTAAGTTTGACTTTTACATGTCAAACCACATTGCCTACTCTCTGGTACATAGTGCCATCTCTCTAATAACCATTCGTCTTCATTTTTAATCAGAAGAGCTGATTTTTAGACCTTACTGATAATCCGATGTTCCTATTTCCTTCTTTTCTTACTCTGTTCAGCTAGTTTGACCTACTATGTCGATACTTCAAGCTCTCGGGCATTATCTCAGATTAATGTTTTGTTCACCTGAACCAAAAATCTTTGAATTTTCTTGTTCAAAATAAACTACACCTTTCCCAGGTATTGGGCCAGGTTTCTTCAACTTCTCTTAGCAGTTTAATACAAATCTCTGTCACTTTGAGAAATCCCAGAACTTAATGTTATTTTTCAATTTGCACTACATTTCTACCAAAGACAAATCTTCATTACAATACAATGTTGCACAGTAAGAAACTACGTAGTGCTCTCGGTGTAATCCTTAGATGGGTCAAATGAAATATTTTTTCGACAAAGTCTTCTAGCACTGAAGAAACTTAGTTGAACTAGCGAGAGCTCTCAAAGTCATCTATTACTTGCAGTCTATTTTGAAGAATTTCAGTTGAAAAAGTCCAGAATTTTGTAAAGTCAATAAATGAAATGAAGTTCAATATACTTTAAACTTCTAGTACAACTAGTCCCTAGCTAAGTCAGCAGAAGTACAAAGTAGGGTTTCCAGCCGATTTTAGATCTAGTTTGAAGACTGTAGTAAAGGGGATATAAATTACATAAACATTCAAAAGTGTAGTCCTTCACCAAGGTCTCCTCATGCTAAGAAAAATCATAATAGTTGCTCTATGCATTGAAATAAAGATAGAGAAAACTGAAGACAAACAACGTTTGAAAACCTGGCTAGGAAAGTCATATATTAGTATCCTAAGTATGAATGACCTCTTTTGTTAATTGCACTGGTAACATTTAATAGAATATGTTAGGAAAATTCAACTACTTACAGATATGATTAGCTGTTTCATGAGCTTGGTATCATCAATGCAATCAAATGCTGCCAGCAAGACCAAGTGAGAGAATTCACCCTGTAAGGGCAGGGCATCAAGAAGGTTTAGAGATATGCAATGCTGCCCCACATACAATATCATTTCCTAAATGTTAGCTGTGATGAAAACTTGTCCAAATTGCAAAAAACTACACTGAGATCTGATGAATGATTTCCTCTAATGACTGGCTGAAGTAGTCCTACGACATAAAATTATTTTCTGGAGGCAACATTTATAATAAAAGCATCTTGTTTAAAACAAAAGTGATAAAAATCAGAGCTGTCTCTATGCACTGATGAATTTCCCTGTCTAGACAGCTGTGCAGCATGCTGCACTCTCAATAACTCTCAACTGGATTCTATGAATACCCATCCATTTGAGGCCGAAGATTTCCTTTACAGAATAAAAAATAAAATTTCATTTCTCCAGTAGATTTACCTTACAGTCAACATCTCTCACCAGATTTCTGGGAGCAAATCTCAGTGAAATCCAAACCTACAGGATAAGGGCAAGACCCAACTCCCATAGATGTCAATGAGATACTTTCCACCAACTTCCTTAAGAGCACAACCAGTAGGTCTTGACACAGTTCTTAACTATTAGCTACATGTTGCCTCTCTCAAAGTGATTCATATATGTATATACTATAGACTTTTTCATCTAACAAAACAGGAGCTTCTATACTGAAACAGACCAACAAGTCACGTCCATTAGTGGCCAAAGCTGGATGCTTCAAATAAAAGTTATTATTCTAATAATTCTCCAAACTGAATACGATACTGTGGAAGAAGGCAGATGGAGAAGGAAAGATTTCTTCATGATTCCAGATGGCAGCTAGCTTTTTCTCTGAAGCATGTGTCATAATAGCTAGTGAAAAGGAGCAGCAAACAGGGGAGTTCTGTGAAGGAGTTCTCCAGGTGAAGCAGGTGTGACTACATGACTCTTTGGGTAAGTTTGCTTGCTGTGTGCCTGCTTGAAAGAAGCTTATATTGTGGTCTGTTTGGGGGACCATGTGCAGAGCCTAGTGGTCTGGTAGACAAGGCTGAGAGTATTTTAATGAGACTTTGATCCCTAATCCTTTAGAATCCGTTAACTAGCAGGCAGGGCTACTTGGGGAGAACAGGGGTTTAAAAAGCCAGTTCCTATGTGACCAGCAGAGCTAGTGAACAGGAGCAGCAAACCTGGGAGTTTTGCGAGGGAGTGTGAAAGCCAGATACACCTAACATTCTCTAAACGTAGGCCACACACACACACACGCGTGCGCGCCAAAAAAACCCTAAACCCAGAAAACAAGCTGATGGCTCTCAGAGACCAAGTATGGACTCTTGATGCCAGAGTGGCTGAACTGGAGGATATGAAGGAGACAGACAGGTGTGTAGATGAGACTTTCCGGGACACAGCAGCGTGGTCCCACCCCCAGTCTGATAGCCTCTGTGCTGTTGAGGAAGGAAATTTTACAGAGGACAATATCAAACTGGAGCAGAAGGAAATGGTCCTGTAGTTGGAATCCTCCCTCTTTCCAGATGATGTCATGGTATCCTCTCACAGTGAAGATCTCTCTCTTGGGCAGGAAACCCCACTTATTAGAAAGAGATAGGTAATAGTAATGGGGGATTCGATTGTTGGAAATATAGATAGTTGGGTTTGTGATGACTGGGAGACCTGCATGGTGAATTGCCTGCTGGATGTGACAGTTACAGATCTCGAGACATCTGGACAGACTTATGTTTGGTGCCAGGGAGGAGCCGGTGGCCATGGTACATGTAGGTACCAGTGACATAGGGAAATGTAGGAGAGAGGTCCTGAAGGCCAAATTTATGCTGCTAGGTAACAAATTAATGTCCAGGATCTCCATGGAAGCAGTCTCTGCAATGCTTCCAGTTCGACACGCAGAACTGCAGGGTCTCAATGCATGGATGAGACGTTAAGGGGTGTCAATAGGGGGCAGGGGCCAGGCCATGCCTGGCTGTTTGGGGAGGCACAGCCTCCCCAACCAACCCTCCGTACAATTTCAGAAACCCGATGTGGCCCTCAGGCCAAAAAATTTGCCCACCCCGAGCTACATGAATTCTTTGCATTGGTCTTCACTGAAGAGGATGTGAGGGAGATTCCCACATCTAAGCCATTCTTTTTAGGTGACAAATCTGAGGAACTGTCCCAGATTGAGGTGTCATTAAAGGAGATTTTGTAACAAACTGATAAATTAAACAGTAATACGTCACCAGGACCAGATGGTATTCACACAAGAGTTCTGAAGGAACTCATAATGAAATTACAGAACTATTAACTGTGTATGTAACCTATCACTTAAATCAGCTTCCATACCAGATGACTGGAGGATAGCTAATGTGATACCAATTTTTAAAAAAGGATCCAGCGTCAATCCCGGCAATTACAGGCCAATAAGCCTACCTTCAATACCAGGTAAACTGGTAGAAACTATACTGGAGAATAGAATTATTAGACACAGATGAACATGATAGGGGAAGAGTCAACACAGCTTTTGTAAATGGAAATCATGCGCCAACAATCTAATAGAATTATTTGAGGGGGTCAACAAATGTGTGTGTAAGTGTGATCCAGTGGACATAGTATACTTGGACTTTTGACAAGCTCCCCTCACCAAAGGCTCTTAAGCAAAATAAGCAGTCATGGGAAAAAAGGGAGGGTCCTCTCTTGGATCAGTAACTGGTTAAAAGATAGGAAACAAAAGGCAGGAATAAACGGTCAATTTTCAAAATGGAGAGAGATGAACAACTGTGTAACCCAGATGCATCCGATGAAGTGAGCTGTAGCTCACGAAAGCTTATGCTCAAATAAATTTGTTCGTCTCTAAGGTGCCACAAGTACTCCTTTTCTTTTTGTGTAACCCAGGGATCTGTACTAGGACTAGTGCTGTTTAATGTTCATAAATGATCTGGGAAAAGGGGTAAACAGCAAGGTGATAACATTTGTAGATGGTACTAAATTACTCAAGATTGTTACTCTTTTGCTTTGAACTTGAGTAAGGGATCTCACAAAACTGGGTGACTGGGCAACAAAATGGCAGATGAAATTCAATGTTGATAAATGCAGTGATGCACATTGGAAAACATAATCCCAACTATATATACAAAATGGTGGGGTCTAAATTAGCAGTTGCCACTCAAGAAAGATCTTGGAGTCATTGTGGATAGTTCTCTGAAAATCTCTGTTCAATGTGCAGCGGCAGTCAAAAAAAAAAAACTGACAATGTTAGCAACCATTAGGAAAGGGATAGATAATAAGACGGTAAATATAATGCCACTAAATAAATAAATCCATGGTACACCCACACCTGGAATACTGAGTGTAGTTCTGGTCACTTCATCTAAAAAAAAAATACATTAGAAATGGAAAAAGTACAGAGAAGGGCAACAAAAATGATTAAGGATATGGAACAGCTTCCATATGAGGAGAGAAACACTGGAACTGTTCAGCTTGGAAAAGAGATGACTAATGGGGGATATGATAAAAGTCTATAAAAATCATGAATGGTATGGAGAAAGTAAATAAGGAAGTGTTAATTACCCCTTCACATAACACAAGAACTGGGGTCATCCAACGAAATTAAGCGACAGCTGGTTTAAAAGAAACAAAAGGAAGTACTTCACACTGCAGAGTCAACCTGTGGAACTTGTTGCCACGGGATATTGCGAAGGCCAAAACTATAAATGGGTTCAATTAAGAATCAGATAAGTTCATGGATGATAGGTCCAACTATGGCTACAAGCCAAGATGATCAGGGATTCAACCCCATGCTCGGGGTGTCCCTAAACTCTGACTGCAAGATGATGAGACTGGACGGGAAGGGATGGATCATGTGATAATTGCTCTGTTTTGCTTGTTCCCTCTGAAGCATCTGGCAGTGGCCACTATCGGAAGACAGGATACTGGACTAAATGCATAATTATTCTATTCCTTAAAGAAGAGGCAACCAAGATTCCCTGCAATATGAGATTTTACCACTGTGGCTTTGGTATATTTCCCTACTTCCTTCTTAATACAGTTTATCTTATTTGCCCTTTAGAATGCTACTGTGGAAACAGACATCTTCAATGATTTATCCACAATACCTAGATCTGTTTCCTGAGACGTTACAGTCCAATTCCATCAATGTGCCCGATTAAGCAAATAGACACTTCTGTTTGAAGTTTTTTTAAATCTTTCACCGTTGTGAGTGACACCTACAATTACTAGAACATAAAGAGACTGAGAAAAATGATCTTTCCCCCCATTTCTTTACTTTGTAACAGTACAATGTGTAAAATAGTATCAATGTGAGCTTCCCATTTTGTTTCTTTGAGTATTTCACACAGTAACAAGAGAAAATATTTTGAAAAAAAATTAGAAAGATAATAGATGTGCAGCACCTGCACAAGGCGCAGGAAATACAGAATACTGGGTACTAGTAAGATATTTTACTAGCACAAAATACAACCCCAGCTAGTGTGCTTTTTATTCTTGCAAGGCTCTTTCTACAAAAATGTATATTAACATTTGATACAGTTAAGGATCAGTATTATAAGTCTAAGTTTACTATCAAGACTGCAGTTTCACAGTTTGTTCTAACTTCAGAGTAAATTCAAATTGATATTTTGTAAACTGGGAATGATGTGACAGTTATGAAAATGCTTCAGTGATTACTTCAACATAAGGTTTATAAACACTCACGGTAGCTATTTTTTCAACATACGTCTTCATGGTTTTCATAATTATTTTTCTGTCCTATCCAAAAGAAGAGGGAGAAACATTAGAAAGCCTTTGTCAATAATTTAATAACTAAGTTGCTATCTGCAGCTTCTTTATACGAGTTTAATTTCAGATCATTTCTTAAAAAGAAGAAATTACTATTATAAGCATTACTTTTGCAACTGAGACTGTGAAATGTTAGACCCAAATTCTATGGAAAGACTCAGCACAGTAGAGAAACCCTGGGGTTTTCTGCAAGATTGGGCTGGCTTAGGGGAGAACTAAGAAAGAGCAGCTGTTATCAAATTACATAAAGGTAAAGGCTGCTTGCCTAATGGACATCCCCTAGCTCCTGATTTCCTGCTGTGTACAGGAGAAGGTCAGTCTGCCAATCCCCCCATTCCTAGATAGTCAGTTCACTGTGGCACAACTCCTACATAAAACCAGAGGGAACTCTTATCCCACATACCTCAACTCCCCCTCTAGGGCAGACATCTGCTCAGCAAGGCTCCTAAACTATGCATCAGCAGGGGCTCTGTTCTAAAGAGGCTTCACTAGGAGCATATCTTCCAAAAGACTTCCTCTCCGGCCTTCATTTTTGGCCCTTCAGCCACTGCTCTGTCCCTTATTTCTATTCTACTTAAGGGCCATGCCCTAGCAAGGTAGGTAGACTTAAATTACAAGTTCATTTAAAAAAAAATGTATGTAACTTTATTTCTTTTCACTTAAGGTATGTCTACATAGCAGCTGGGAGCATGCTTTCCAGCACAGATAGTGCACTAAAATAGCAGTGTAGCTTCTATGGTACAAGCTAGCTGCCCAAGTACAAGCCCACTCAACCACCCAGTACATACTTAGATGGTTAGCCTGAGATGCTGCTGCGGCTACATTGAGTGAGTGCACTAAAAAGACCAAACAGAGCTAGTATATGTCCATTTACTTGTGCTGAAAAGCACACTCCCCGCTGCTGTGTAGACATAGGTTCCATGTAAATTTCTGAAAGCACTCCTTACATCCCTAACACTTAAAGCAGAGCAGGTAAATGTTATCCCTTACATAGCTTGACATATCATCAACTCTTGAAGGAGAAACCCTAAACACCAGTCTTGGCAAGTAGAGAAGCCTTTCAGTTTATTTATAATTTTAAGCTTTTGAAGTTTTTACATTCTGAAGTTAATCATGTTCTACATTATGAGCTTCTTTACCATTCTTTCCCCACCTCCAAATTTCCTCCAGCTACAGGAAATCTAAGGGATAGATACTGAGGGAACTGTAACACATTCAAAAAGTTAAAAGCACTATCTGGCGGCCTCCATAAAAATTATTATTTTATTTTAAAAAGGAGTTTTTCCTTGTAAAAAATTGTGTGTGGCCATTTCCACCCTCAAATACAAAGATTACATTTGCTAATAGGTCAGGGACATGTTTGGCCCATTTTCATGCATACTCTAACAAAGTAATCTACACAGGGTAATTGCATTAGTATAAAGATCACGGGAAAAAGCAATACACAGCAGCCTCGGACACAAACAAAATCAAAGTTTCCAACGACAGCAGAGCCAATTAATAACCTATGGCATAGGGGCGTGTAGGCTAAAATGCATACTGTACCTTGGGTGTACCATGCCATAAAGCATGCATGGCTACACGGGCTCCATCATGTGTATGTGCCAGGTAGATTACTGCTTCTCTGATTGCTTCAATCATTTCCTGAGGAAGAAAAAATAATTAGGGGATTTGTTTTTTGAGAAGAGTCTTAGAGAAGAGATACATATTTTGCCTGTAACCCTGTGAAGACTATCACTGTGCCTGGAGCCACACTCTTGCGTTGCGCTAGCCTATATAATTGGCATCAAAAGGATCCTAAAGACGTAGAAATTTCTTTGACCTAGTCTACATGTAAAAGTAAAGTCGACCTAGCTACATCGCTCAAGGTTGTGAAAAATTTTGAGCCCTGTGCAACACAGTTCATTTGAACTAACCCCACCGCAGATGAAAGTAGGCTGACAAAAGAATTCTCCCATCAACCTAGTTACTATTTCTTGGAGATGGCTTACCTACCTCAATGGAAAAATAATTCCATCAACATAGGAAGCATCTGCACGACAGTGGCATTGCTGAAGCGCAGTAGCTGTGTTGATGCAGCGTAGACATATGCTTAGACTTCCCCTCTCAAAACTGTAATCACAAGCACGGTGACTGGAAAGGAGTTAATGTGTTAGAACCTCTGTAGGTTCTTAAGTCAAGAGTCTGAACATCTTGGTATAGGATGTGAAAAATTTCAAAGGAAGGATGGGCAGGAGGGCAAGCTGCCATTTACATAGTATGGCCCTGCTCCTGCACCAATAAAGTCTTTGCTGTAGACTCCAGAGTGTAGAATCAAGACCTATTGTCACTTTTAGAGAACCACCACTGCAAGTAAGTTACCTTTGGACCAATTATTAAAGAATCACTGCACACTTTCAAAAAGACATTCATTTCAGTTATTATGGGAACTGCTTTTTTAGTTATTGCAAAATTTATTGTGAAATCTCATTAAAAATATTTGTTGTACACAATGGGACAAAATATTGTTTTATTGTGAGAATGCATAGTAACCATGAAATTACTAGACACACATAGTGGCTAAGGTAATATCTTTTAATGGACCAACTTCTGCGGGTGAAAGAGACAAGCTTCTGAGCTACACTGAGCTCTTCTTCAGGTAGAAGAGCTCAGTGTAGATCGAAAGCTTGTTTCTTTCACCCGCAGAAGTTGGTCCATTAAAAGATATTACCTCCCCCACCTTGTCTCTATAATATCCTGGGATCACCACAGCTACAAACATCAAATTACTATGCATTACTGACATATATCTCCATCTCCTAGCATCTTCATAGGTAGAAAGAAACTTCCAGTCAAGATGACAACGCTCATGTACATTAAGGGACTTCAACCTAACTAAGTATATGCGTAATAATGAAGGACAAGAGTATTTCTTGTTGCTATAAAAATTCCTAAATAGTATATTTTTGTAATTATTACTCAAATAAATTATTTGAATGTTTGTTTTAAAGATAACCTGCAGCAAAATAAAAATAAGGATATCCTATCAATAAGATCCTTGTTTAAGGTTGTCACCTAAAACAAGATAAAGAGGCTTATCACCATAATTTTAATGTTTAATAACTTTTTGGTATTTGTTTCAGATCTCCAAAGCACAGAATCAAGAGTCAGGCCAGTGTTTCAGAAGGAAGGAATTAGTGAATTGCTACTTCAGGAAACCTAAACACAACACACAAAAAACCCAGCAAAAACAAGTATGTGCAGCCTAGTTCACTATCTGGGGCATTTAACAAAACTCTAGTTACTTAATAAAAATTACTGCAAGAAATTAAAACATTTATACTTAAGTCACTTTAGAAATACTTACAGATCTTTGTTTTGGGAGAGCATGGATGAAAAAGTCCAAAAATACTTTATGTACCAGTGAGTGCTTTATCACAGCCTCCCTGTGTATCAAGAGGAGTGGGGGGGGAAAGACAAGAAAGTCACACACCCTTTCAAAACACACAATTTCATTTCCTCTGGTCTAACTGTAGCTAGCAGTTATCTGTCTTATGATGCAGAAAATATTAGGATGCTCTTTCAGTTCAGGAAGTCAGTCAGAGCGAGGAAGAGAAGTTGCCTCATTAGGGCTGCTGGTTGTATCAGCTAAGTGTCATAGACAAAGTATTCTTAGAGGCAACAACAAAAACAGTTCTTCTGAAGTGTGGAGGAGTCAATCAAGAACTGCACTTTTGCACACCTTGAGAGATGTTTTTTCAAGAGACCATTGGGTCAGTCTGCCTGATTCTCCTTTATAAAGAAATACTAAGCTGCTTAATTCTGTAGGTTGTTTCCTTTTTTAAAAAGGCTGTAGTATAAAATATACCTGGAATTTTCAGAGTTTTTAATGAGAACTGCATGAATTGTCTTCTGATAGCCTAGTATGTGAGAAATATGTCATACACTGATTTAGAATTCCTCGTGGGTGGAATTACAGTCAGTCACTATGGCTGCAGTAGTAAATGTGGCTGAACAGGAAAGCAAACAGTATTTTTTGCACTGTGACCACAATATCCCCCCCTCCCCACACAATTTGCTCTGATTGTCATGTCTTGTCTTCAGAAAGTTATTTGCATCCTTACTTTTGTGCCACTGGGGTAAGAATCTGTTTCATTTCATCCATAATGGCCTCTTGCTTTTCAGGATGAGCCTCTAATACTTTGTCCAGTGTAGGGTGAACTGGGGACTGAAATGAAAACAACCCACACCAGGTTTAAATTACTGCTGCTTTTCAGGTTCTAAAGAAAAGTTTTCTTCATCATCCATTCACAATTTGAGAAGGAAAAACACCTCACAGTATATGCAACAACCTTCATATCTTAATTTAGTTTTGTGTGGGTTTAAACAAAATTAAGTTACACCATTTTAAAGATGCCAAAAACAGTTATAATTTGAAAACTAAACAAAAGCAAACAAACTGATCTACACTTCTACACTAACAACATATACTCCCAGATATTCATAACACTGTCAGGCATTACATGGGGAAATAAGAGACTCAGCCAAAGGCAACATGCTAAGTACATATATTGATGTGCCTTTCTCCCTTTAAGATTTCAAAGCATCAGTGCTAGGCATGGCAACACATCAGTTGAATTATAAATTACTATCCAACAGAACAGAAAGAGGAAACCTCCTGGAATTTTCCTATCCAAGACTATGCTGGTCCATCAAATATGAGAGACTTGACAGCCCATCAATTCACACTGGTAACTATTCCAAGGGAAGCTGCTCTTAGCAGAGCCAGCTGATAAGACAGATATTCCACTGACCAGCATCTCATTAAAAGGAAGGGGAAAAAAGAGCTGGAAGTCTTTATTAAGGAATATGCTATAAATCATTATGAAACCAAAGCTTTGAAGAACTCACATCTTGCACTATTAGGATTCTTGGCTTCAGAAGAAAGTGAAATGATTTTCCAGGTCAGTTGTTAAATCTGGTATCTGTACAGAGAATGGACTCCCACACCCTTAAGTCTGGAAACATTAGAATTCCTAATAAACCTTTTTATCCTGTGACACTTCATCCAGTGCTCCTTCTCTAACATGTACATTTGTTACTTTTGTTTCCACATTAGGATAAAGAGAGTAATTACTGCAATTTGAAAACATAAGGGCAAAAATACTGAATTTCAAACTAAGAACACACTCACAAATGTTGCACAGGCAATTGTGTGTGTGTGTGGGGGACGACGGGGACGGGGGACGGAAGAGACAAAAAAAATGTATACTGCATGTTTAATTTATATCTTTAGGGTTCGTTTTATTCCCAGCTAACATTATGCATTCATAGCCAGGGGAAATTTTGCACATCTCTGATGATGCAGCAAAAGATTTTAGTAAAACAAATAAAAAGATGATTTGTCAAGGGAAAATAAATCCTATTGGCTCAGAAGACAAGTTGTTCTTAAAATTTAAATGTATCTGAATCAGAGTAGTAAATGCAAGGGTTAATTTTTCTTTATATTCAATATATTTGTGTCAGGAAGCAAAATCTCTCTCAAATGTTATTTTCTAAATGCTTGGCTAGTTTATGGTTGACTTTTTCCACTCCAGGTTAATTTACAGACTTCACATTGAACAATTAAAAGGTTACTTTTGTCACTTACATAATAGATTTGGTGTTGAATAGGATGATGGGGAAGACAGTTAAGTCAACAAGGGATGAGATTTTCAAAGGAGCCTGAGGGATTTGGGTGCCCAATTTATTTATGCTCCTTTGAAAAACCCCAGCCTAAGTTAAATGAAAGCAAAAACCCACTAATACATAATGGAAATGTGCTGTTAAACATGAATCTGGAACATGAAAAAACAAGTTTACAGGGGGGCCGTACTTCAGGACACAAATTAACTTAAGGATAGCAGATAAGGGAATGACACAGCAACATCATGAATAAAATATCAGACAGAAGCGGAGGAAGGACCAAACGTTACCTTATAAACTTGGAACGTGTTCCCATAGAGCTCTTCTGCTAGCATGATCCTTTGCTCCAGGATGGCTTTATCATTGTATGCATATTCTACCACGGCAGATGCTTCAGAATGGCGGAGCATTTTTTTTACCTCACCTTTAAAGCTTTTAATTATTTCTGCAACTTGTGGTTTTGTTCTGTACCATGTGTAAAGATGGACACCGAGAGAGACAGGAGATTAGGGAAAAGGGATGGTATTAAATATATACATTTCCAAAAATAAAGCTGAGTGATTAAGTAGTAGCACAGTAATACAACAAAGACAGGCATCTACACCTGGGACCTTAACCAAACACCTACTATGAAAATACAATTAGAAACTGAACAAAAAGCTCATGTCTATGGTGTTAACAGTAGCTCTGCCACTGAGTCTCCCTGAGCTTCTCACTAGCATCCACAGATACGAAGGGAGCCCACCGTCAGTTAATACTACTTCAAACGTCATTAACTGCAACTTAAAGTCTCTGCTTGGAAGTGTGTGCACAGAATAGATATGTTGACTTGGCGTGCTAACCATCTAAGTCATCTGGTGCCTATAGGTGGCTGTGTCTTGGATCCATCTAGGCATTCTCATCCAACCTTGTGTTTCTCTGTCAGCTCTGCAATAGCGTAGAAGCAGAGAGGGAAGGGTGTGGAGTACATGGGCCATGCCTACACTACAGGTGTCATAGCTAGTCAGCATAACCTTGTGTGCAAATGCAGATTACAGAGATAGAAGGTGGTTTTCTGTCACTGTAGGAAACCTGCCCGAGTGATGATAGCTAAAGCAATGGAAGCATTCTTCCATCAACTTAGCTGCATCTACATCAGAAGTTAGGTCAGCAGAGCTACATGGCTCAAGGCATGGATTTTTCACACCCATCAGCCCTGTAGCTATGTCAACTTAAGTTTTAAGTCTAGACCAGGCCACAGCTAAGCTCCATAAACCTAGCTGATCTAGCTGAAGGGAACAGAAGAAAAAAATGATCATTGACAATCTGTCAACCAGAGCAAGACAAGGACAGACAGAAAGCTCCTTGTTCCACAGTAGAGGTGCATGTTTATTTTAGGAGACTTCGGATAAACTCGGCGGCGGGGGCAGGAGAGGGGGAGACAAGACATTTTTCTGCACTACTGTAACCTTGACAAAGGGAAGGGTGTATCTTTGTAGGACTTTATTATACACAAAAAAAGGGAAGGCTTTGAGTGTGGTTCCCCCCACCCTTTTTCACTTGTAGTCTTTTTTTTTATTTGCTGTCCAGAATTTCTGAGAAAAGAGAGCCTACCCGGTGACAAGGGGACTGTATTATGGACAGCAGGTAGTTCGCAATCCTCATTCCCAAATACACTACCAAGATAATTTCACATGGAGGAGACAGCCTGGGCCAAAGCCATTATTCACAATGCACAGATTAATAATAAAGAAGTACATTCACATTCCAAAATTAACAATATATGCAAGAAAAAAAAAAAAGAAGAACTGGTTTACTTCATACCCACCCATACATAAGAAACTTCTTTACAATATTTCTGGAATATTTGGATTTGCTCAATTCTAGTAGGCTATCTGGGGAGGAAAAGAAAAAGAGCAGTTTTTATCACCCCTTGAAATCGCATGTTTGTTTACTTTCCTACAAAACAAAACTAAAAGCCATTGCTCAGTGACCTATTGCACCCAAGCAGGAATTAATTTATGAGAAAGTGACACCTAAAGAGAAAAAAGTAACTCAAACGTGTGTACCAACAGAGTTTTGGGAGGAAAGAAGTACATTAAGGAGAGCTACATTATACAAAACAGTGCCAACTTCCAAAGCAAATACAATATAAAAGGGAAAAATACCTTTTAATTCTTCAAACGTTTCTTGCCTTTGCTTGTCATTGCCATACCGAATGAAACACTGGATAACTCGAGTTGAGTCATGTGCAAATGCCATCTGTAACAAACATTTTTATTATCCCAGCTTTTTGCATGACATTACGTGGAAAAAGTTTATTTTAAACACATTTACTCTGTTAAGAGTATAGTTTTATGCAGCACATAAGGATACTCTGGGAAACAGATGCTATATAAATAAAATACATTATAAAGAAACAAATTTTAAAGTAAGTGTAGTTTTACTGGTTTTCATTGCTCCAGTATTTCTTTACCAAACATAGAATACAGTCAATACTGGCTACTGCAGGCAATGGAATGTTTTGTGATCATTTGTAAATATGTACCAAAAATACTGAATATTTTATTGACTGGAATAGCCCCATGAGATGCACAGCCTGTTTTCTTGAGACTCTCACAGGGACAGCAGTCACGCAGTCTCACCCTAGCACATGACAATATGATCAGGATGCTCAATCTAACACAGCAGGCAGCACCAAGCAGCCACAATTTCAATTCACTTCAAAACCCAACAGTTGACTATGCTTCACTACACTACACAGCAAACATACACACCTAAAGAGTGAAGTTAAAAATAATGAGACTTTAGTATTGAAAATGTAATGGTAGAAATGTGCACCAGGGCATTAACTTTGTGTAGGTTTTTTAAAAGAATCAATTGCAAAAAATCCACTAAAAGTACAACTCTTACTGAAACTGCAAGTTAACCAAATTTAACCTACATCCAATGGGAATTTTACAGATTAGAATGCTGGTGGGCTAACAAGTCCCCTTTTAAATCAGCTGATCAGCAAAGTTTTCCTGGCACCATTATCCTAAAAGACTGGGAGCACAATTTCTTCATTCACTGAAACCTTGTTCTATATCTGGATATTTTCAATGTCCCCTGGAGCTTCTGGATAAACAGGGTTGTACTGTATGGTTCACAAGGTCATTTAGTGCAACACACTTATTCACTATTCATAAAAAGGGGTTTATCAACTTGCCCACTTTGATTTTTAATTACGTTTGTAACTGTATTTCTTACAGTTTTAATTTTCCCCTGGAGCAATTTATGTAGTTCATTTATTAGCTTCTCTCGCTTCTTCTTGTCACAGTTTTTCCTACAAACAAAAACAGACAAGTAGGAGACTCTTAGATCAGAAAGCAGCTTTTTGGAAATACAAAAATAACTGGAAGTCATGAGCTAGAAAGCAGGGCGGCCAAATTATTTTTTTTTTTTTTAAATGAGCTCCTGCAAGTCCACGTTTAGGTACCCATTTATGAAAGTTCTGGCCAGAAGCATAAGTATATTTCACTCACTCAGGATAAGGGCAGATTATAAAATTTCAAAGAGCCTCAACCAGTGAGACAAAGGTCCTAAGCATTTTACAGGATCAGGCCTCAAATTATGATCTCCCCTGAATTTATGCCCACTTATTATTATTGTACATTTTTACCAAGATCAACCCAGATGCCTCAAGACTATTTCTACCGTCAGTCATCAAAATGTAACTTGAGACCTCCAGAGAATTCTAATTCAAGATAATTAAATTATAATCTATTCATGGAATTTACGTGGGAGAAATACAAGCATACCCATTCATGAAGGTACCAAGACAGAATGAGCAACGCTTCACCACTGCATGAGTACTAATTAAAAAGAACTGTATGAAAGAAAACATAATAGAGCCATTATTACCTTCTCACACTTTCCCATATCTGTTTTGATTTGATGATTACATCATAATTTGTTTTGTCATTAAGTTGTCTGCTCTGCTTTAATTCCTTCTTTTTCCTTTTTAAATCATTCCATTTAGGCTTCTTAGGTACAGACCCTGATGATAAAAACAAAACATTGTTTATAACGAAGTAATAGTCAACAGATTGGGAGGCAGATCCTCAACTGGTGTCCAATGAAATCAACAGAGCTATGACAACTGAAATGATCCGAAGATCCACCCCTGACTGCCTAGCTAGCTAATCTGAAAGGGTTAATACATACTGAACACTTGGGGTAGGATTCTCAAGGGGATTTGGATATACAACTAAAGAGTGCAGTTAGGCAAGACCAATATTTGGGTGCCAGTGGCGTTCACAAAACCCCTGCTCAGCTGCTGTAGAAGCCTATGTTTTCACTGATAAAATCATGCCTAATTCCAGGTGGGATGGGGATTCACAACCTCCACCTATAGGTACTGATCCAATAAACGTGCTTAGAGGCTGCTTTAAAGCACATCTGTCTGACTGGGCTCTACACAAAATGAAGGATGTAGTCATGGTGGTCAGTATTTATTAGAGCAGGGACTGGTACCTTGTCTCCCACTTCCCAGGTATAGTCCGCAGCTCTCTGAATATCAAAGCATTCATACAAAGTGGAATGTCTTCAGTAGGACAGGTTGAGAGAGATCCACTACAGAATACCCCAAAACTCATTTATTAGGGAACTCACCTAGGAGGTGGGAGACCTGGGTTTAAGTCCCTACTCCAACTCATCCAGTTGGCAAGTGGAGATGGTCTCCCACATGCTGGGCAAGCGTTCTAGCCGCTAGGCTATTGGGCTCTTCTTGAGCCCTGGCTGATGTGCCTACTCCAGGTGAGAGTTCACTGCTGTGAATCATGAGTGGAGAGAGGTGCCATCCCCTGGCCTGGATTTAAGCGCCTAACTCCTTTTGAGGAGCAGGGCTTAGACCATACCCCGTCCTCTGCATTTCCTATTGGCTAGCTTGGTGACTCCACCATCAGCATGCTGACTTTTGTGAATCCCTCTTTTTACGCACCTAACTTTCCCCATGCATTGTATAAGGAATCTGGCTACCTAATTTTGGGTTGTGAATACCTGCAAGGAGGCAGGTAGTCTAATAGTTAGGCACTGTAATGCTCAGTTGTAGTTCCCTTCGTGAACTGCATCCTTGGTGACTTGCTAGGACTGGCAGCTTCTGCCTGGGAAATATCAGATATTGGAAGAGCAAGACAACTGCCAGATTATTCTGAAAGCTTTGACAAAGGATAGAGGTAAGTTAAAGTCTTAATAGGATGAATTCTGACCCAGAATGCACCTACAGCCCCTCTAGTAACTTTACATCAGAATATGGCTCAACATATCCCCCCTTCTCTCCTCACTCCCTATCCCCCAAAAAGTTGGAGAATTGAATTTTTTTTTTACGAATATAACTTAAATCACAAATTTTTTGTGATATCTTAGATAACAAGGACTATATGCCCACAAAAATTAAACTTGGTGGGGTTCTTGCCTTTCACATTCTTGAGATAAACTATCAGAATTCAAAAATGTTGTGCTAGAAAAGAATACATTCCCAACTGCAAACACTACATCTGCCTCTGATCAATACCATTGGCACCCTCCTTTTATGATGGAATGTAGATAAAAAATAAACATTAAAAAGAGGAAAAACATGAAACTAAAGGCCACAATCAGTTTCTGAGCTACTGCCCTCTAATAAATGACAACTGTTCTTATACACAGATTTTGTCTTAAAATTTGTTCCTATTAACATGTTAATGTCTTTTACTGGAATCTGTTCAAGAGGTTTTCAAGTACGTAAAGCACTAGAGGGGAACAAAAAAAGATTCTCGACAGATGAGTTCATTTATAGATTTAAGTATACCAGCTCTAACAATTACTCACTGCAACTTTATATGTAAAGCCTTCTTGCATGTTTAATCCTTTCAGTCAGTGGGATTCATTAGGAGCTTTTACTATACAGTGGCTAAAGACTGCTGCACAGCAAGATTATTACTTTAAAAGGATTCTTCATATGAGATGTCATAAATGAACTTTAAGGTACAGAAAAAGTTGACTAATGTTTGCTTTTAGCTTTAATCATCTCGTAGCAAAATTAATCACTATATACAATACAGATAACCCGAAGTGAAGAGTCAGGGGGCAAGGCATGCTAACTAGCACTGTGCAATTGAAGCCAAACAGAATGGATGAATTAAAAATTCATCTCTCAAGAATAAATTGTTTAACAGTTTAGCACTACACACTTCATTTTCCTCCAATATACCAACCCTTCCCTTTTTTAAAGGATTGTAATTTATGCAAGGTATTTTAGAATCAGTTTATTTTTTAAAAAATGAAGTGAGCAAATAAGAGAAAAGTTAACAGAAAACCGGTCAGTCTCTTGACATAGTTGGTGACAACTGAAGTTTTGCTTGAAATCTGAATGACTCCAGAGCAAGACTGGAGGCTTACAGTTGTTTTAAGATAAAATCCATTAAAAAAACAACATAACTCTGATTTAATTCGTCCACTACCTCTATTTCTGTGCAGTTTTCAAAAAATACAAGTATTCCCCAAACTAAATCAAAGTTAAAACAGTGAAAAAACTTACAAAACAGAACTTTAATGTTATCGTATGAGCTTCTAGTTTCCCTCAATTATTAAGCCACACTTAATTTGTGACAGCCCTTTACATGCAGAACTGTACGTCTGCTGGGAAGCAGCAATCAAATGACAGCTCTCATTAAGAGACACCAGAACCAGAGAGTTATGAAACTATTAAAATAGTGACAAACTAAATATTTACTAAAAAGTGTCTGTATATGCACATACACAGAAAAATAAATTTATAAAAATGGAGAAACATCCAGTATATAACACAGATTTAACTGGTGAATAAATGCTACAGGCCTATAGACCAACAGTATAAATGGAGAATAAAAACCTTTGTTCTTCCAGTTTTGGCTATCATTGTTAGAAGCATGATAAAAGATAAAAACTCATGATTTTTACATTCTGATACCAACACCAGTGGTTAGTCAGCAGCTGGTGCTCTTGTACCAAAGGGGGAGTGGGGGGGTGTCTTTCCTCAAAAGGAGACCATCTCCAAATGGCCCCACTATTCATACTGTCTTTATTAGACCTGTGTAAAAATAATCAGTAAGGTTGAAAGGCAGATGACAGAAAGAGTCACAGCTTTAATTTAGTCATGTAATACTTGAAGTTCTCTTTGTCACTACAAACTATTATGCATCAGTTTATGCCACCATATCAAGAAATTAGCCAATAGGTTTAGTTTACTGGTGGACTACCTATGTTAAACTGGAATTTTCACTGCCACAGACTGTGGGTCATGTGACTTGTCTAGTCATCAGTTTAAATTGGCGGAAATAACAGTTTCCATTGGAAGTCCAATAGAGTGCTATGGAGAAGCATTTTTTTTTATAGTTAGAGTTTTATTAGTATTAGAAATACCATGGAAGTTGGTGATAATATAGGAGGGTATTGAAAAGAGCAGTAAGACAATCCTCTTCTCCCTCTATATTTCCAGTGCAAGCAGCTTGGTTCCACATATATTTATGATCATGGCTATCTCAAAATTTCTACTATGGGGGTTCTCAGTACAACAGGTGCACAGGCATGACCTAGTTACTTATGCCTATGGTGATTACAACAGAGAATAGTCAACTCGTACAGTTAAAAAGTTTATTATACAATCTCACACAATTCAAGGCAATTATAGCATAGCCCTGATCCCTCTTAAATCTATTAACATATTTTAAAATATATATTGTTGAAAGAAAATAAGCTTCCATTTTATTTTAAGTAAGTATACTTTACAGAGGATATATCTCTTCTGAGAAAAAAGTAAAAAAACAAAACAAAACAAAAAACACAATATACTCACCACCCTCATTATCCTCCTGGAGTTTTCTCTTCCTACTGAACTTTTCTGGTTGCTGCTTACTCTTGAATTGTTTCACACTAGTCTTACCAAGTTTTTTGTTTCCTTTCTCAGACTTCTTGGATCTGAATTTAGGCTTTCCTTCTTCACCTCTTTTAGTATAAAACTTTTTTGGTGGACCAGAATCTATGCACAACAAAAAGAGAATTAGAACGGATATTATTTACAAGTTTCATTCACTATTAAAAGTTTTAATAATTATTTTTTAACAATTAGATTACATATGATACACCAAAATCCATGCATGTTGATACAGAATAAAAATTATTCAGATTCTGAAAAGCCCCAAGCATTCTTACATCTGTAACAAAATTTTATATTCCTCCCACCTAGCCTTTTCATCATAGCCTTATGATCCCTCTCCTAGTTTTGCCCTAAATCCTCCATATAGATGTAATGCAATACCAACGGTGAAGAGAGGATAATTCTAAAGGAACAAAGGCTGCCTTATTTGTAGTAAGAGTTTCACTGCCTCCGACATCTAAGGCCCCAGTCCTGCAAACACTATTTGAAGAACAAAAGTAGTCTAATTGGTATAATGTGAATGGATGCACATTAGTTTCTCTCTGGCTTGTATCTGGTGGCTCTAGATACAAGACATGGTAATTGCTCACTCTTGGATGCTTAGAAAACTTCCACCAATGAAAGCAGCCAGGCATAAATGGCATAAAATGGCTAAATGTTTTGTGTGATGGTTGCAAAGCAAATTGTGGTCAACCAGCACACCTTCTCAACCAGGAGTGGGCAAAGTACGGCCTGCCAGCTGGAAGCAACCACCACCACGTTCCTGGGGGAGCGGGGGCAGAGAGCTCCGTGCGCTGCACTTGCCTGTGGGTACTCCCCCAAAGCTCCCATTGGCTGGGAACAGGGAACCGCGGCCAATGGGATTTTCGGGGGGAGGTACCCACAGGCAAGTGCAGTGCACAGAGCTATCTGCCCCTGCTCCCCCAGGGACGTGGTGCTGGCTGCTTCCTGGAGTGGCATGGGGCTGGGGCTGGGGCCAGGGCAGGCAAGGAGCCTGCCCTGGCCCTGGTGCGCGCTGCTGCCACCCCAGAGCTGCTCCAGGTAAGTGGTGCTGGGCCGGAATCTGCACCCCTCCTGCCCCCCGCCCTCCTGCCGCACCCCAACTCCCTGCTGCACCCCACACCCTTCCTGCTTCCCAACCTCCTGCCCTGAGCCCCCACTGCATCTCGCACCCCAACTCCCTGCCCTGAGCCCCCAGCCTGCACCCCAACTCCCTGCCCTGAGCCCCCAGCCCCCTCCCACATCTGCACCCCTCCCCCCTGCCCTGAGCCCCTCCCACACTCTGCACCACTGCCCTAAGCCCCCACCTCACTGTGCACCCCCTCCTGCACCCCAACCCCCTTCCCTGAACTCCCTTATACACCCCGCACCCCTCCTCTGCCCCAACGCCTTGCCCTGAGCCCCTTCCTGCACACCGCACTCCCTCTCTCACCCCAACCCCTTGCCCCAGCCCTACATTCACGGCCCTCTAAGCAATTTCCGCACCCAGATGTGGCCCTTGGGCCAAAAAGTTTGTCCACTCCTATTCTAAAGGGCCAGTTTGACACCAAGGACAGCAAAATACAGGAATACAACATGTATACATTTTAACAGAACAATTCCTCCTCTTTTCTGTTTATTAAAAGCCCCTAGAAAACACTTAAAATATCTGTGGTATTCAGGTAAGTGACAGCATAAATTGCCAGTAAGTAGGCACTTAGAACACTGCAAGAAAGTACAGCGATCTTACATACAACTCATCCTCTCAGCTGCACAATTAGGTTGTTTTGCTCCTTTTTTGTTTTTTTTTAAACCGAGGCTATGCCTACACTGCGTACCTGTGCCGCTTTAAGGTCTCCTGTGTAGCCACTCTTTGCTGGCAAGAGAGAGCTCTCCTGCCAGGAAAATAAAACCACCCCCCAACAAGTGGCGGTAGCCAACAAAGAGCTGTCCACTCCAGCACTTTTCATCAGTAAAACTTTTGTCGGTCAGAGGGGTGGGGGTGTGTGTGTGTGTGTGTTTTTTTCAGATGTATGCTTCCTGAACCTAATAAAGGACTCTGTTCTTGCTAATACTAAATTATTCATGTTATTTTCACAGTAAAACAGCTTTATATAATTAATCTGTCATCTGGTGAGAATACTGAATATTTTCCCCCTCACATTTAATACAAATAGGCAATGCACAAATGTGAAAGTGAAGAGACAAGCACTAGCTTGAGCTATAGTTCCCTGAAGTACCTCAATCCTATCTTATTGCAATTTTCTTATTCCAGTTGTGAGAGATTCTCTTAAGCAGAGAATGCAAAGTGACCATATTCTTCAGCATAGTTGGCAATTTGGAAGAACTTGGACTAAAAATGAGAACATTTTCAATTTTAACCCAATATAGTATTTTAGATCAGATTTTCAAAGCTAAAGGGTTTGCACCCTTAACTCACTTGCGCCATCTCAGCTCATTTTCCAGTATTATAGTTAAGGTATTGTTCATAAGATTAACCCACTTATACAAATGAATTTGAGTTTGTTGTACCTGTTGCATTCTCCACCCTTCAGTAAGAACAGTTTTATGAAATATTATTCTTTGCAGACTTACCATTGTCTTTTTTAAATTTATGTTTTCTTTGTGGTGCTTTTCCATTTTTCCCCATAAATCTCTTTTTACCTTTGGCTTCCATAGCAGCGACACTGAAATATAGAAAGAGAGGCACAACTTGTTGGAGACCATGAATGGATGCATCTGTTTTAGTTCAAGAGCATTATGACACCTCTAACTTAAAAAAAAAAATCCTTTGTCATAAGCTATATGATAGAACTGACAAAAGAAAACAAATACTAAAAGATTGTGGCACTAATTCATAATTTTGTATCTCTAACTTTAAATTTATAATGAGAAAAGTATGTTTCCCATTTCTCTTGTAATCATTTGTGCATCTGATTACCAAACCAGGTTAACTAAGATTACAACTGCTTGACTAAGTATCCCATAATGTTCATATTCAATGCCATTCTCCCTCCCGCCAAAAATTCTCCATTTTTAACAGAAATGATAAAATGCTGTCACTAACTGAGAATTTTTGAATATTTTTGTATAACATCAGGCTGAACACTAAATGAATGCTATGTTTTATCACTGGGAAGTTCTGTTCTTCCGTTTTTTAGGGAAACATTATCTATTTTCACTCCTAAAGATCCAGAACCTGCTATTAGATGCAGAATGGGGGCAGAAGTAAAAGCAAATTGTATATGAAACCTTGTTTACTAAATGTTTATTATTTGTACGGTGCCCAAGAGTACAGTAGGTACCTGAAGGTCTCTGGCCTGAAGAGCACAGAATTAAGTTAAGACTAACAAGTTAGGATAAATGCAAATAAGGAAGCGAGAATAGGACAAGGACACATAAATAAAGCCTCTTTATCCTGCAATCATTAATGTGTGCACTGAACTTTAAGCATGTGAGTAAGGTTAAGCACACAAGTGTTTGCAGGACTGGAGCCTAAAAAAGTACGATACACTTAGAATCATAGTAAGTACTTATTCTAAGCTCAAAAATAATACAGCCTCCCTCCCCCATCGAATCCAACCACTGAATCTGTCCAGACTAATCCTGTTGGGGCTGCTGCACAAAGCCCCGAGGAAGGGTGTGAAGGAGGAGAAGGCAGAGCCCTGCTGGACAGGTGCAGGAGGCCGTGCCCCGTACGTAGGGGGCGGCCCCGAAGAAACCAGGCACGAACGGCGCCGAGCGGGCTATGAAGGCGCGGCGCGGGTGACAGACTCCAGCGCCTAAGGGCTTTGCGAGCCCGGAGGCAGAGCGTGAGGTCTGGGCTGTACCTGCCAGCCCCAGTTCACCCCCGCCCCGAGCTCGCTTCTGCGGGCCCGGGCGAGGCGCAGGAGTTCAGCGCCCACCGCACAGGCCCGCGGCGCGGCCTCGCCCGCCAGACGGGCCAGGCGCAGCGCGTGCAGGAGTTTCTCAGCGGGCCCTGTCCCCTCACCCGCCCCCGCGAGGCGGGCACCCAGGGAGCCCCCACGGGCGACCCCAAGATCCCTCTAGCGCGGTAGGGCCGGGCCGGGCCTAGCAGGGAGGTGGCCGGGGAGACCCACCCGCGACCCCCGCAACGGGCGGCTCCCCCCCGCCGCCGCCGCGCCCCCCTCGACCGCCGGCCCCCGCTCACCCAGACACGCGCGCGGCGCCGGCAGACTCCGCACGCAGCCCTGCTTCCCGGCTAGCGTGCTTGGGGACGGGCGGGCGTCGCCGGAGCGTTCCCCATTGGCGAGCCCAGCGGAAGCAGCGCGACAGCGTCGGAGCGGGCTGCCGTAAAGCAGCAGCAAGGGCTGAGGCCACCACAGCCGGGGGGGCTGCGGGGCGTCCGCGTCAGGGCGGTGCGGCGAGGCTAGGCCCGGCCCGGCCCGGCCCGCCGCGCTCCTGTGGGCCATAGGCGGGGTGCGAGTTCCCGGCCGGGCAGGGGCATGTTCTCAACGGGGGGCTCTTGGCTCCCTGTTCAGAAACCCGCCTCTTGAGGACACGCTGGGGCGGGGCTGCTGCTGCCTCCCCCCCCCGGATAAAGTAGTAAAACAACCCAAGTGCGGGGAGCCTGTCTCCCAGCTTCCCACCTGCGCAGAGACACAGTCTCTGGCTTGGTTTTGTGCCCGTGGTTAGTGCCCGTCTGGTTCCACTCACTGCATCCTCGCTCCCATCCCAGGTGTCGCTTTGGGCCTGCCCGGGAGCTGACCTGAGGCTGGGTCTCTTTGCCCTGGATGGTTCGAAGAACGCTTTGAACATCGCCATTAAACCACAGAGTATTTTCCTGTTGCAAGGTGTGCCGTGTTGCAGTGGGCCTGTGATAGGCAGTGCTGGCCTACATGCAAAACCTAAGGAGTTTAATTTCCTCACATTTGACTTTAGGTTCTTTTTGTCTAGGTTTCTCTTTAAAAATAAATCTCCTCTAAAAGATCACTGTTTGAAAGTGCTCAGGTCTGGTGCAGCTCCTCCCAGGATAGTGCTGAAGTTAATTATAGTGTAGTGGGTCACCTCAGGTTTTGAACCAGCTGTTGCGTGATACTTAAAGTGAGAGTAGGCTTTTCCCCTTGAGTGTTCCAAAACTAGCACTTCCAGGAGCAATATTCAAGTTAGTGAAAAGCTGCTTCTTTAAAACGTGTCCCATATATAATATGTGGGGAGATAAAGTTACTCATGCAGTTTTAGATTTTAGCTACTTCTTTGATTTCCCTGAACCTTGTATACTTAATATCTTTTGACTGATCAGGAGGCCACTGCTAAAGTATATCTGTATTATTATGATGCAGGGATTTGTATTTATAGGTTTTGAGCTATAAAGCCATCAATGGGCCTATAAAGTCCGTGCATCTCTAAGCCCACCCCCTACCCCGTTTGTGCCATACTGCCACAGTTACAATAAGTGGCCCCTTTGTTTTAAAAGAAAGAGTTGCTAGCAGGGCATTCTCCTGAACTTTGGAATTCACTCACCCACTTAAGGCTAGGTCTTCATCCCCAGCTCCAGCTGTTTTGTGTTGCAAAGCAGTTGGTAAGCTACCTTAAAGATGTAATTAAGGATTCCCCTACACCAGCCTATCATTGTGAACATGTAGAGGTGGGGAAAGTCTGTGAGTGAGAGAGATTTTGGTCCCTGGTTATCTCAGGGTGGGATGGAAAGGTAGCTTAGAGTTACCTTCCCCACCCCATGCTTAGCACAACTCAACATTTAGCTCTCATTTCAAAATAACCCAGATCTGTTGGCCAGAAGGACACAATGAAAAGTTTATCTTCCCTCTTTCCCCAAGACTGAGATTGTACACTGAGGTTTGGGAATTGTGGCTGAGAGGAACGTTTTATTCTCTTCCTAGTTTTATGGAGGCTTCTGCCTTTATTTTTGTTTGTATTACTTTGTTTATATTTTTAATATATGGCAAAGGCATTTAGAGCTCTGCTTTGGAGGAGGCTATAGACTACTGTAACTGTATATTATCCAGGATAAAAGAAGTAGGCGATAAAGAAATGCATCCCACACTTAAGAGAAGAAGAAAATAAGTTGTATAGCAAGCAGATATTTCCCCAGTTTTACTGAATTTTTTTGTTTTACAGATTCACCAATATTTTCATTTTAAAAATAGATTTCCAGTCCAGAGGTAAGAGAAATTAATAGAGGAGATAGTGATGGGACTAGGGTCCAGCTCTCCGCCTTCTGAAATCAATGGCCAAAAAACACCAAGCCCACCATTTAATTCAAGAGCTGCAGGCTTGGGGCTACAGCAGTAGTTAAGTATAATTTTAGAAATGGATGTACTGTAAAATGATTAGTAGTAGTTATGTAATATCACAGATTTGCATACCACTTTACAAACAGAGCTGTCTTGCAATCCACAGATATGTGAAACAAGTAATTTTTTTTCAATGAACATTTGCTTCAAAAAGTGTATACTTCTGCCTCTAAAATTAAAAATGTGTATTCTCTGGATACCTGCTGACACAGCTCCCAGTTGAGTGCCCCCCTCTCAGCTATTCACTAGACTTTCGTGAGGGGAATCCAAATCTCTGGATTGCTAGCTGTATAAAGTCTCCAGAGTCTGACTGGATCCCAACCACAGCCCCGTCTTGTGGTCTCTAGATATACTCTCAGAGCACAGAGCCTCTGTCTGCCACCCTTTCTAGAGAGCTGGAATCTGTTCCCTAGGCTCAGTGCTGACCCTGCAGCCTTCCTCATAGCTTAAATACACCCTTTCACAGAACTCCACCCAAGGGTGTGAGCCTTCTGGGTTACAGTTTAACTCTCGTGGGAGGCATATGGTAGTTGTGAAGTTTTGTAGTGTTGTCCTGGGAGGGACCTTTGTCAAGTGACATCCTGCTCAGTCTCCTCAAGTGATCACTGATCCTTGCCAGATGACTTTGTTAGCCAAAGTGACCTCTCCCCTGACAAACCAGTTCTGGACAGAAGCCAGCTTTAGAGTGCTTCCTTCTTGACTAGAGAACAATCGAGATTTAACAATCCTGTATTGCTAGGCCTTTGCCACTACCCCTATTGGAATTTCAGTCCAAAATGGAGGCAAAAGAATAACAGAGAAGACAAAAGGCTGTAACTTCAAAATGTGGTTTGCAGCTTCTTAAGGGTACATATAGAGTTTGTAATCTGAGACAGAATTTATAAATTGTGTGGCTGGAATCCCCAAATGACCACGCATATACCCATCACTGCAAACCAGACCAAGAGTGCTTCAGAGAATGTATAAATGTTCATGACCAAACAAATTACGGCATGAGGTTTTCGGTCACAATTTCAGGGGGTAGGATCCAGAAAAGAACGTTAGCATTTCAACACTGAGTTTTGCAGTATCTAATTTTTAGGTGCCTAGATAATCACAGGAACAACACTGCGACCTACAAAGGCTGAGTTAGGCGCCTAGGCTACTATACAATGAATGGGGAGAGACAGGTACCTTAGATGGTGATCCACAAAACCAGCATGCTAGGCAGGGAGCTGCCTAAGCTAGCCAATGAGTGATGCTGATGAGAGGGGTGTGTGCTAAGCTACGTCCTTCTCATAGGAATAGGTGCCTAAATCTGGGCTGCAGGGAGGAGCCTATCCCTGCTCGCAATTCACAGACTGGGGAAGATAGGCATTTGGCCACTGAAGTCACACATGGAGCCCAAAACAAAATGGAGGCTCTCTATTATAGCATTTAGCCTTGGATAGGGTACTCATTTTTAGGATAAATTTGTTTGCCTTATTATCCTAATTGTGAGTTCAACTGTAAAAAGTATGTTGAAGTTCATAACCTATAATAATACCTATTGATGGGAAAAGGTACAAAAGGGAGACAAAGATTGAATTAGTCTAAACAAAAAGGGCTACTGACATAACTCAAGGACTATGTTAAGACCATGTTTGATAAACAAGAAAATGTGGGTCTGGAAATCAGTGAACCAAACTTGGTGTGTCAGAAACTAGTCCTACTTGGACAAAATAATGAGAGTATGAGCTAGTCCACCCATCAGTCCCTTTTTGGGTCCTTACATAAACAGATTTTGGGGGTGAGGGAAATATGGAAGAACGGACATTCTACTGGAGTGAGCTTCACCATTGTGGGGGCCCTGGGCGGTAGGTATAAGAGGCCGGGGAGGCTAAGACTCCCTAAACAGGATGTGGCGCACCTCCCTTTGGAGGCGCGCCGGCCTTCCTTGGAGTGCCACTGCCGAAAGGGCTCCATCCCACCTGCCCCTGTGGGGGCCATGGCTCCACTCCTGGCCCCTGGTCCCGACTGCATCTCCTGGGGGGGAGGGGGTTATGACATGAAGTTTGCAGACCACTGTGTTAAATTTTCAAACAAGCTCCTCTGTGCTTTATCCCATACTGTCTCTCACACTTGAAAGGACCCCACAAATATCTGCAAAATTAAAGCATTATCCCCCTTCAAATCTTTCCTTAAAACTCTCCTTTTCTATCATATCTACAAAAACCTTGACAATGGTTATAGGCTGCTGGTGTGCTGAGACCACTACTTATCATGGTGACCCATACTGACTCATTGTTTTCTTTTACCCCCTGTGCATGAATCTCTTGTCTTATATTTAGTTTATAAGCTCTTTGGGGTAGGGACTCTCTTTTAGTGCTGTGTTTATATAGCATCTAGCAAAGTGGGGTCTGGTCTATGACTAGGGCTCCTACAGAAATACAAAAAATAAATCCCTAATAATAAATACTATATGCCACCAGATGGCACCATTATCTCTAAAATAATATACAGATGGTTGGCTCTTTGAAATGTCAAAGTCAGATCTGTTTCAGTTGATAGGAGGAGTTGGGATAGCTATGTCACTTCCAAATGTAAAAGGATCCCATAGTCATATATGCAACTGTCATTATCCTTGCTTCATCATGGTAGCTATGAAATAAAGACAGAGTTTCACAAATACTTCTGCAATATGAGTTATAAATATTGACCAGTTTTGCAGACGGTGCAATAGGTCTGCAAAACTGGTCATCCAACCACCGCTTCCCCTGTAACTCTGCTCTCCTGCAGACGCCATACATACCACAGCAAGCATGGAGCCCGCTTAAATCACCATGGCAGTTATGAGCATTGTAAACACCTCGCTCATTATCATGCAGTATATGCAGAACCAGAACCTGCAAAAGCAGGCGAGGAGGCAATGGCAGCGTGGTGATGAGAGTAATGAGGACATGGACACATACTTCTCTCAAAGCACAGGCCTCGGCAATTTGGCCATCCTGGTGGCAATGGGCCTGGGAAACAAGCACAGACTGGTGGGACCGAACAGTGTTGCAGGTCTGGGATGATTCCCAGTGGC